GCTCCAAGACGTTTGTGTGAAAAAGTTCAGAGGAAAGACTTCTCTGTGTAAAACCTTCTGTGTGTAAAAAGCTACTCTGTGTAAATGTGTAAAAGCCCCTGCGTGTGTAAAAGCTTGCTGTGTGCAAACTCTTTGGTGTGTAAACGCTCCTCTGTGTAAAGGCTTCTCTGTGTAAAAGCTTCTGTGTGCAAACGCGTCTGTGTGTAAAAAGCCCTCTGTGTAAAGACTTCTTCGTGTAAAAACTTCTGTGAGTAAAGCTCCTAGACGTTTGTCTGCAAAAGCACCTTAGAGTAAAGACTTCTCTGTGTAAAACCTTCTGTATGTAAAAAGCTCCTTTGTAAAGACTTCTCTGTGTAAAAGCCCCTGTGTGTGTGGGTAAAAGCTTCTGTGCGTCTCCTCCCTCCAGCTTTCTTTCGGGTCACGCTGTCGTCCAGTTTCAATCTGCAACGCTGTTTCTTGTGGAAGAGTGCAAAATAATGCAAAGAACATGTGAAAGCATCGCGTGTTTACAAATTGAACATAAACAGCGCACAAAGTGCTGTAATTTACAGCATATTGCGCTGTCAGCTGGCAAGAACCCGCGTAAATACTACAGTTTTAGTCCCCGAAAGTGGCTAAAACACTGTTATTTGCAGGGTTTCGTTCACGCCACGATCTTCGATTTTTTGAAAAACGCGTAAATACCAGCGTTTTTTGCGTTCATCAAGGCAAAAAATCGGTTCAAAAAGTGCAAAAAATGCTGTAATTTACAGGGGTTTGGCGCCGTCACGGGCAAAAAACTGTGTAAATACCAGCGTTTCAGCGTCCAAAAGTGGCTAAAACACCGCTATTTACAGTGTTTCGTGCCTTCCACGTTTTCTTGAAATTGCAAAAACAGTGTAAATACCAGCATTTTTTGCGATCAACTTGCCAAAAATGCTGTAATTTACACTGTTTTTTTGCTTTGCTTTCAAAAACACTAGTATTTGCAGTGTTTTGTGCATCTCGGGTCTAAAAAGTATTGGTATTTACAGCATTTTCTGCATTTTTGCATGGCTCCCGCAAAAGACGTTAAAACGCAAAAATGCTGTAATTTACAGCATTTTGTGACTTTCGAAAAGCGAAAAATCGTCCGAAAAAGGTGTCAAAACGGCGCTTTTTTCCGATTTTAGGTACCCTCAAAACGGGGGGGGGGAATGCTCTTGGAGACGCTGATGAGCGACCCGGATTCCGTCCAAAAACCTCTCCCCCACCCTCCTGAAGGATTTTTGGTGGTTTTCGGGGCCCGGCGTCGGAGGGTCGGCGGCTGGGGGCGCGCCTCACCTTAGAGCTCTAGTCGCTCTGGGACGCTCGTGACGCATTTGTCAGCGTACTCGTGTGGAGCCGGCGGAGCCGAATTTAAGGGCTGCCGCCCCTGCCGCCGACCCCGGAAGGCCAGAGACTTCGGACAAAGTGATATAGTCGGTGGATTACCAAGGTCACAAGATTGACCTAAATATTCTTCAGTGCTTCGCACTGTCAGGCTTTCCCCCTTGTTTATATGTATATTTTCCCAAACCCCTTCACCCCCCTGAGCAGTTCCTCGACGACTTCAACCAGAGTCTGGGTCTTGAGCTCGTGAATTATTAAATAAACCTTCCCATTAACCCCCCTCCTTCTGTGGCAAGGTGCAGTGTTGTGCCATGGCAAGGCGTAGACACGAAGTAAGACACACAGTACGCATAGCATCCAGTATTTCCGGCACCAATAGTTCAGGTATTCTATTCAAATTATAGGGATTTGGCATCGCAGCTTTTTATGTAGTCCAGGATCAGGACCTTGTCCTTGGAGTTCTACAAATATGTGTAGCTTAGTTTCACTTGAATAAAAAGGACTCCAGATTTTTGTCCTTGGACATTTCTTACCATGACTTCTGTCCTTGCAATTTGATGGACTTTGGCTGGTATGTATGTACGCAACGTAACGTTATGTAGTGTAATGTACTGTACTGTAAATGTACTGTAAATGTATTGTCTTTGTATTGTTATATCAGCCCCTGTTACTTTTTGCTTGTGCTCACCGCATTTTACGGTAAAATTATGGTTCCCGCAAATGTTGCCAAATTTTGGCTACAGAGGTCAAATAATGCATACGGACATCAAAAAACAAGGTTTACCGCAAATGTCAGCAAATAGACCCAGCATTTGATTCACAGGGATGATATATAGCTACGTACTTTTTTCTCCTGCTGCTGAAGACGCTCCTACTGCTGCTGCTGCTGCTGCTGCTGGTGGCTAGCTACGACGCCTAAAAGCGAACCACTCCCAGCGGCAAATCGCCATGGCAGTGAAGGACGGAAAAGTTCCAAAATTGCACCGCAAAAATGCCTAACGTAACTTCTGAATCCCATAGAAAATGATGATTGGTTTAGCTACTTTTTCTCCTGCTGCTGAAGACGCTCCTACTGCTGCTGCTGCTGCTGCTGCTGCTGGTGGCTAGCTGCGACACCTAAAAGCGAACCACTCCCAGCGGCAAATCCCCATGGCAGTGAAGGACGGAAAGGCTCCGAAATTGCACCGCAAAAATACCTAACGTAACTTCTGAAACCCATAGAAAATGATGATTTTAGCTACTTTTTTCTCCTGCTGCTGAAGACGCTCCTACTGCTGCTGCTGCTGCTGCTGCTGGTGGATAGCTGCGACGCCTAAAAGCGAACCACTCCCAGCGGCAAATCCCCATGTCAGTGAAGGACGGAAAAGCTTCGAAATTGCACCTCAAAAATGCCTAACGTAACTTCTGAAACCCATGGAAATGATGATTTTAGCTACTTTTCTCCTGCTGGCTGCTGAAGACGCTCCTACTGCTGCTGCTGATGCTGCTGCTGCTGGTGGCTAGCTGCAACGCCTAAAAGCGAACCACTCCGAGCGGCAAATCCCCATGGCAGTGAAGGACGGAAAAGCTTCGAAATTGCACCTCAAAAATGCCTAATGTAACTTCTGAAACCCATAGAAAATGATGATTTTAGCTACTTCTTTCTCCTGCTGCTGATGCTGCTGCTGCTGCTGCTCCTGCTGCTGCTGCTGGTGGCTAGCTGCAACGCCTAAAAGCGAACCACTCCCAGCGGCAAATCCCCATGGCAGTGAAGGACGGAAAAGCTTCGAAATTGCACCTCAAAAATGCCTATAATGTAACTTCTGAACCCATAGAAAATGATGATTTTAGCTACTTTTTCTCCTGCTGCTGATGCTGCTGCTGCTGCTGGTGCACCGAAATTAGACTTCAAAAGTGCTGCTGCTGGTCGCTATCTGCGACGTCTAAAAGCGAACCACTCCCAGCGGCAAATCCCCATGGCAGTGAAGGACGGAAAAGCTCCGAAATTGCACCTCAAAAATGCCTAATGTAACTTCTGAAACCCATAGAAATTGATGATTTTAGCTACTTTTTTCTCCTGGTGCTGAAGACGTTCCTACTGCTGCTGCTGTTGCTGCTGGTGTCTAGCTGCGACGCCTAAAAGCGAACCACTCCCAGCGGCAAATCCCCATGGCAGTGAAGGACAGAAAGGTTCCGAAATTGCACCGCAAAAATGCCTAACGTAACTTCTGAAACCCATAGAAAATGATGATTTTAGCTACTTTTTTCTCCTGCTCCTGAAGACGCTCCTATACTACTGCTGCTGCTGCTGCTGGTGGCTAGCTGCGACGCCTAAAAGCGAACCACTCCCAGCGGCAAATCCCCATGGCAGTGAAGGACGGAAAAGCTTCGAAATTGCACCTCAAAAATGCCTAATGTAACTTCTGAAATCCATAGAAAATGATGATTTCAGCTACTTTTTTCTCCTGCTGCTGAAGACGCTCCTGCTGCTGCTGCTGCTGCTGGTGGCTAGCTGCGACGCCTAAAAGCGAACCACTCCCAGCGGCAAATCCCCATGGCAGTGAAGGATGGAAAAGCTCCGAAATTGCACCTCAAAAATGCCTAATGTAACTTCTGAAACCCATAGAAAATGATGATTTTAGCTACTTTTTTCTCCTGGTGCTGAAGACGCTCCTACTGCTGCTGCTGCTGCTGCTGCTGGTGGCTAGCTGCAACGCCTAAAAGCGAACCACTCCCAGCGGCAAATCCCCATGGCAGTGAAGGACGGAAAAGCTTCGAAATTGCACCGCAAAAATGCCTAATGTAACTTCTGAAACCCATAGAAATTATGATTTTAGCTACCTTTTTCTCCTGCTGCTGAAGACGCTCCTGCTGCTGCTGCTGCTGGTGCACCGAAATTAGAGTTCAAAAGTGCCAAACGTAACTTCTGAAACCCATAGAAAATGATGATTTTAGCGATGAGTTTAGCTACTTTTTTCTCCTGCTGCTGAAGAAGCAGAAAAGCTCCGAAATTGCACATCAGAAGTGCCTAACATAACTTCTGCAACCCAGCAGCAAATCCCCATGCTGCTGCTGCTGCTGATGGCTGGCTGCAACGCCTAAAATCGAACCACTTAATAGCTGCTAGCTGCCAATCACAAAGTGCATAGCTTTGAGCACATGGCACATGCGCAATAGCCTGCTGTGTCAGAAACTCCTTTTCCCTTACGCGCTAACTCCTTTTCCCTTACGCGCTCCCCCTTGCCCAGCCGGGGTCGCGCGCATCCCCCTTTTGTCTGCCGGGGTCGGCGGAAGTGGTGTCTTATTCCCTGGCGCGCTCCCCCTTGCGTCTGCCGGGGTCGGCGGATATATATACATAATATGATATAGTTATATATATATGATATACTGTATGTATATACAAACTCTGTCTCGTAATACAAACGTCCATAAGATGTCAGCCATTTCTCCTTGTGTGTGTAGCAATTGGGGTAACATGGGCAACCTTAGGGAATCGTCGATCCACACACATGTATAATATATACACGTATTGGCCATGATAGCTGTAGGTTCACATTCGCCGACCAAGGGTTGATAGGTCTCAATTCCATGGTCCAGAGTTGGAAGTCCAAATTTGGACAAAGTGGTTTTATCTAACTCATTGCAGGGTTGAGACGGGTTGAGCAGCCAAGGCAGAACTACATAGATGAGGCCACAATCTCAGCTCTGTGTTGCACCAGCCCAACAGTCTCGTAGTTTCAGGTGTCATGTTGTGCAGAGTTTTTTGGTTGATTGATACACATGCCCAAGATTTCGCCCTCCTCAGGGCTGACATGAGCCGTACAGCCTGTGAAGACAGTGTGTTTTTGGATTTGAGTCCAACTGTGTGTTCTGGAAAGACGAGATTTTCTTTTGCTGAGGCCAAGTACCAAGTGAGCAAAGCCAAGATTTTCTCTTCGCTCTTTGAATGTGAGCCCCACCATATGATCTCTGTCAAAGAGATCAAGGACGCATAGCCATTTGATTTTTGTGCGTCAGACTGTATGTGTTGATCTTGTTTCATGAGCAGGCAAAAGGAGCTGAGAAAGGATAACCCCTTTAGCTCTTGTGGGACATTTTTTTCTCTTTACAATATGTTTTCGTTGAAGAAAAACCAGTGACCATCCTTACCTCATGGTGTTTCCACATCTTTGGGCGATCGCCGACAGGAGAAGCATCCTTTGGTGAACCTGGAGGACACCGGCATCTACGGTGGCATCTTCACTGAGGGAGACGGCCATATCGACCCCAGCAGCGTCACTAATGCCTTTGCCGACCGAGCGAAAGGCGGATCGCTGGTGGATGCCGCAGAAAGGAATTGAACGAATTGACAGCTTTCAATGTCAAGAAAGTGGATGGACGAAATAGGATGACAATCAATAGAAATCATACAATATTCACGAATCTTCTTGACTTTTGGAACAGCTTATTCTGAACGAGGATATGGATGATATGGAGGGGGGGCAAGCACTATGCAACAACGTTTTGGAAGCAAACTGTGGATCCTGTCGAGCCAAGTGGCTGCGACTTGGAGAGGCTTGGGGGGCAGCATCGAGCAGAAGACAGAGGTCGTAGGTGTGGTGTGCAGTGGGTCTAATGCCATTGGCTGCCTTGGAATTTTGTGGAAATCATCTTCACTAAGGGCTTTTGCAAAGCACTCTAGTAGGTCAAGCTCGTGCGCTGTCTGAGTTCCAACCTGAAGAAAATCTGGCTGGATGTGTTGCAGACAGAGAAAAGCAACAGAGTACATCCCATGAATAACTCCAATGCCACATTTTTTTTGGGACAGGCAAGAAGTTGTTAGCATCTATGCTGTCTATGCTCAACTACCAAGAACGAACTCCAATGCCTCGGAGGCCTCAAGCTGCTCCCTTCTCGCCAATGGGAGGTGATCACACGTACAGCCAAAGGCTGGATAGTTCGCTTCATGTCTGAGATCTCTTCCAATCAGGATGCGAGATTTTCACAGTAAGAGCATAATAGAAAATCTGAACGTAAACGGTAAACGTTCTCATTTTCTTCCCCCATGACTCAGCCATGTCCGATACCATGCCCCCCCGGGCAGATCCTTTTGCCCACTCCCAGCCCTTTAGGCGAAGAGAAACGAACTGTGGCGGACTTTGTCATCAACGCAGCTGGCCTGTGGTGCGATAAAGTTGGCGCCATGGCTGGTGTCCGGGTGCCATCAGTGGTGCTGCAGCATCAGTGCCCTGCGCCTAGTGTTCGTTGCAATATGTTGGGGTCTTGGTGAGGGAGCGTTGGTTTTGCACGCATACAGCAAGCAGGTGGGAATTCATGGAAATTCGCTCAGTTTCAGTCTGACAGACGACTTTTGGGGAGATAAACTATTTGGGGGGGGCTGTTTCTGGGAACATTCATCCATCGACTTGATCCAGAGTGTCCAGATCCTACTTGTGGAAGAAATAGCCTTGAGATTGTTCATCGCAGCGTTTGAATATGACAAGATTCACTCCCGAAGCATAGGTTTTGAATTCTGAAAACCACCACTCCTGTATCGCTTTGTCGCTTGTTTCTGCAGAGCGAAGCTAAAGTGAATTTCTAATTTCATCTAAATTCAATGTTTCCTAGTCACATGCAGTGACTCCACAGAACCTCATATGTTCTGACATCAACGCTAGCATGGCCGATGTCCCTGGCGTTGTCACGTTGAACCTTCGACCATGGATAACGACGGCATCACGTGTGGTGCCCTATGGATCCTGTGGACCCCAAAACCATGGACGGCGGCTGCGCGCTGCAGCTGGAATGGCAGCTGGGACGGGTGTCCTGGGGTTCGGGAGGTGGCGTCGCAAGGTGGCGATGGCGGCGGTACAAACAGATTCTGCAGATGTGAAGTCCAAAGAGTCCGAAGAGTCCAAAGAGTCCGAAGTGAAGGAAAGTGGAGATCAAGGAGATCAAGGAGATCAAGGAGATCAAGGAGATCAAGATGAGGATGGCGAGGAGGAAGCATTTCTGTCAGATACAAAGGCCTTGGACACACAAATTTTGTCCTTGGCGCTCCCTGCATTGATTGCGTTGTGCGCTGAGCCAGTGCTGTCCATCATAGACACCGGGTTTGTTGGTCGTTTACCAAACGCACCTCTTTGTTTAGGAGGCCTCGGCTCCCTGGTTGCATCTTAAAATTTTAGTAGTAGTAAGTTGAATAATATACTTGAATCATCTTGAATATACGGATAACTGGATAACTAATGTACTGTTCTTGCAATCTTTTCAAAAAACACACTAAGGTGCAGCAACATCCGTTTTTGACTTCGTTTTCAGATGTTACAATTTTCTCTGTGTGGTCTTAGTGCCGCTGGTGGCAGAAGCCGTGGTTGCCCAGAAACAGGGCAACCCAAAGGAGGATCCTGCCAAGATTGTCGGTCGAGTCATTGGTTTGGCTGCAACTTTGGGGCTTTTTACCTGGCTACTTCTGAACTTCGGTTCCAGTCAAGCTCTACAACTGGCAGGTGTCAGTCCAGATTCAGCGCTGGGAGGGGTCGCTTCAGCTTACTTGCGCATACGGGCTGTTGCCTTACCAGCCAGTCTGGTGAACACCGTTGCCATTGGGGCCTTTAGAGGACACCTAGACACCAGCACTCCATTGTACGTGATCCTTCTACAGACCCTGGCAGATGTGTGTCTTGGGCTGCAACAGGTGACCCCTTCCACACCCTTCCACACCAAAAACACCACAGATAAATCAGCTCAAATATGTTCAAATCTCAAAGAAACAAAACTCATCAAAAATCATCAAACTGTCCTGAATTTCTCATGGTTTTTGGTGGCCCCAGGATCTTGGATGCCGTGTTTGTCTTTGGCGTGGAGGCTCTAAACATCCCTGCGATGGGTGTGGAGGGTGCTGCCTGGTCCACCGTGGCCTCCATTTGGATCAGCTGCCTGAGCTTTTGTGTGCTGCTCTCGCAGCGAGGTTTCGTGGATTGGACGGCGGCTTACTCTTGGCCCTTAGCCTTAAAGGACAGGGGATGGATCACCGAGGAACCATGTAGAATCATGTAGACCCAGCATAAACTGTGCTTTTCAAAATTGAAATCTGCAGGTGTCTTGATTTTGGACAGGGCCATGGTGAATTGCCTGGACATACATCTACGATCCTATGATCATCTATCATCGTCTATCCAGCTTCTGCAAAAGTCAAGGAAAGAGCAGATCCCTGTGTTACTCAAAGTCCTGTTTCAGGGGGTTTCATTCTTAGGCATGGTAATACGCAACAAGTGAATTCCTGTTTGAAGCAGTAGACCTGAATCAACATTGGAGTTCAGGAGCTTCAGCCCCTGATTATCGGCAGCCTGTCGCAGCTGGTCCGGACGCTCTCGCTGCAGGCTGTGCTGCTGGAACTGACTAAGACCGTGGTGGGGCTAGACACTACTGGGCTGGCAGCTGCTGCGCATCAGGCAAGGGCATTTTTCAAACTTGAAAATGCATGGAGTTTGTACGATTCCAGATGATTCTGGTTGTTTGGGTTGCTTTTGGGTTGCCTTGGGTCCCGAGTCACGATGGAACGCACTGCTTTGCAGGTTGGGCTGCGCGTGTGGTTCTTCGCCCTATTTGCCCTGGACTCTATTGCGGTGGCAGCACAGGGCCTGGTGCCTGTGGCTATGGCCAGTGCAGGTATGGAAAAGGCACGGTGGATTTCGGATCGACTTCTGCGATGGGGTGGGCTTGGTGGAACACTCTCAGGCATTTTGCTTGGTCTGCTGGCAAGCTACATTCCTGCAGTGTGACATGGAAAGCATTAGGGTTTTATGGTTTTTGAAGGCATAGGGGGAAGGCCAGTAGCCTTTAGGTGAGTTTCTCAATGCATTGGGTGCTTTCCCGGCTGTATATGCTGAACCCAGGTTCACCAATGATGGGCTTGTACAAGCAGCGGCAACGCCGCTGATACTGGTGGTAGCACTGCTACAGCCTTTGGCAGGGCTCGTTTTCACCTGGGATGGGCTTTTTCAAGGTTTATCCGACTATGCCTACTTAGCCTTGGCCATGGCAGTGGCGTCAATTGTAACTTGGAGGGAAGTCTTAGACTTAGTACGTTTCCATCGTTTCCCCGGGTCCCTTAATGACTCTGATGAAAATTGTGTTGGATTCACCTCCTGGACCTTTTTGTCCTTCACTTTTGAACTTTTGGAGAGACATCATCAGCGCGTTGAATCGTTGAGCACATGTGTTTGGCAGGCAACCCTGGGCCTGCTGCAGATTGACTTGTTGAACGGGTCTTTGGAGGGAGTTTGGGTGTCCAGGCTTGAGAGTTCCTTCCAGATTCCAGAACATGCCTTTGTCCTGCCACAGTGGTTTCTAAAAAGGACGATCACCAGCATGTCTCACGCGCATCTCTCACCTTTCCAAACTGCAGTTTCCGCAAAACCAACAAACATGTATATTGGAATCTTGCTGGAGTGTCATGGTGTTGAGTTCATGAGCAGATTCTCATCTAATGCTGTAAAACCAAGAATAAACACATCCCATTCGGGGATGGTTATATAAGAAACCACATGTTTCTGGTAAACCTGGGAAAAAATCTCCCATGGGTATTGGATGGTATTGGGTTTCCCAGTTTCCCACATTTGGACCCTGATCGGACCCAGTCAGATGCTGAGGTTTGTTTCTCCATCTTCCTGCTGGGCCGTGCTGTGGGCTTGGCCTGGCGCTACTGGGGCCCCGAAGGGCCTCTCAACGAAATGGCCCTGGAGAAAAATGATGGGCTCCAGCAGTTAGCTGCTAAAAGCAATGGCAATAGACCATTTAGCTGTTGCCCATTTGATGATTTTTGATTTTGATGGATGTAGCAGCTGTAAACCATGAACAGCCTGAGAACAATGTTGGTAGGTACTGCATCACTGAAGCCATTCCAGAGGTGAAGGACAGCTGGGACGCTTCGCTTTTCCCTCCCTGTTTTGAAACACGAATCAAACATTCAGCAACACCAGTTGATCAACTCCTACAAGAGCCAGGAGTACCATGACAAGCACGGCCACCAGCTGCCAGTGCTACGCGATTTGAAGGGCTCCTTCTATGTGCGCGATGAGCGTGATGGCATTCTGAGCCTTGGCAAAAATAGCTGGATCGAGTCATGTTGCAAATTTAAATCCATCAATCTCATCCAATATCTCCTATTTTGAGCAGGGGAAACCATGTGTTTGGGATCTTGTTTGGGTATATCGATTTTTTAAAGTCATCAATAGCCTTCATTGCCTTGAGAGTCACTGGATTTTACGACTGCTTGCCACTGTTGACCAGTCAAGGATTGGCCCGTATGAATACTCAGAGGCGATGCAACTGGCCCCAGAGGATTGGCGCAAGACGGGAATGCCCAACGAGTTCCTTGGCCAACTGGAGATCCCCGCAGAGCAGAGCCCACCGCGAACCACGTAGACGTAGAAGATCATTTCAAGTCATTTCAAATCTCTCGTTGGAACATGTTGTGATCGAGTAAAGAACGATGACGATGATGATGATGATGATGATGATGATGACGATGACTACGACGACGATGACGATGGGACTCAAAGGACTCCAACGGACTCAAAGGAACTCAAAGGACTCAAGGGCCTCAAAGGACTCAAAGGACTCCAAAGGACTCCAAAGGACTCCAAAGGACTCCAAAGGACTCAAAGGACTCAAAGGACTCCAACGGACTCAAAGGAACTCAAAGGACTCAAGGGCCTCAAAGGACTCAAGGGCCTCAAGGGCCTCAAAGGACTCAAAGGACTCCAAAGGACTCCAAAGGACTCCAAAGGACTCCAAAGGACTCAAAGGACTCAAGGGCCTCAAGGGCCTCAAAGGACTCCAAAGGACTCCAAAGGACTCCAAAGGACTCCAAAGGACTCAAAGGACTCAAAGGACTCCAACGGACTCAAAGGAACTCAAAGGACTCAAGGGCCTCAAAGGACTCAAAGGACTCAAAGGACTCAAAGGACTCAAGGGCCTCAAGGGCCTCAAAGGACTCAAAGGACTCCAAAGGACTCCAAAGGACTCCAAAGGACTCCAAAGGACTCAAAGGACTCAAAGGACTCCAAAGGACTTAAGGGCCTCAAAGGACTCAAAGGACTCCAAAGGACTCAAAGGACTCAAAGGACTCAAAGGACTCCAACGGACTCAAAGGAACTCAAAGGACTCAAGGGCCTCAAAGGACTCAAAGGACTCAAAGGACTCAAGGGCCTCAAGGGCCTCAAAGGACTCAAAGGACTCCAAAGGACTCCAAAGGACTCCAAAGGACTCCAAAGGACTCAAAGGACTCAAGGGCCTCAAGGGCCTCAAAGGACTCCAAAGGACTCCAAAGGACTCCAAAGGACTCCAAAGGACTCAAAGGACTCAAAGGACTCCAACGGACTCAAAGGAACTCAAAGGACTCAAGGGCCTCAAAGGACTCAAAGGACTCAAAGGACTCAAGGGCCTCAAGGGCCTCAAAGGACTCAAAGGACTCCAAAGGACTCCAAAGGACTCCAAAGGACTCAAAGGACTCAAAGGACTCCAAAGGACTCAAGGGCCTCAAAGGACTCAAAGGACTCCAAAGGACTCAAAGGACTCAAAGGACTCAAGGGCCTCAAAGGACTCAAAGGACTCAAAGGACTCCAAAGGACTCCAAAGGACTCCAAAGGACTCAAAGGACTCAAAGGACTCCAAAGGACTCAAGGGCCTCAAAGGACTCAAAGGACTCCAAAGGACTCCAAAGGACTCCAAAGGACTCAAAGGACTCCAAAGGACTCAAGGGCCTCAAAGGACTCAAAGGACTCCAAAGGACTCCAAAGGACTCCAAAGGACTCCAAAGGACTCAAAGGACTCAAAGGACTTCAAAGGACTCAAAGGACTCAAAGGACTCAAAGGACTCCAAAGGACTCAAAGGACTCCAAAGGATTCAAAGGACTCCAATGGACTCCAAAGGACTCAAAGGACTCAACGGACTCCAATGGACTCCAAGGACTCCAAGGACTCAAAGGACTCCAAAGGATTCAAAGGACTCTGCAGGACTCCGCAGGACTCAAAGGACTCCAAAGGACTCAAAGGACTCAAAGGACTCCAAGGGCTCGAAGGACTCAAAGGACTCCAAAGGACTCAAAGGACTCCAAAGGACTCAAAGGACCCAAAGGACTTAAAGGAATCCAAGGACTCCAAGGACTCAAAGGACCCCAATGGACTCCAATGGACTCCAATGGACTCCAAAGGACTCAAAGGACTCAACGGACTCCAATGGACTCCAAGGACTCCAAGGACTCAAAGGACTCCAAAGGATTCAAAGGACTCTGCAGGACTCCGCAGGACTCAAAGGACTCCAAAGGACTCAAAGGACTCAAAGGACTCCAAGGGCTCGAAGGACTCAAAGGACTCCAAAGGACTCCAAAGGACTCAAAGGACTCAAAGGACTCCAAAGGACTCAAGGGCCTCAAAGGACTCAAAGGACTCCAAAGGACTCAAAGGACTCAAAGGACTCAAGGGCCTCAAAGGACTCAAAGGACTCAAAGGACTCCAAAGGACTCCAAAGGACTCCAAAGGACTCAAAGGACTCAAAGGACTCCAAAGGACTCAAGGGCCTCAAAGGACTCAAAGGACTCCAAAGGACTCCAAAGGACTCCAAAGGACTCAAAGGACTCCAAAGGACTCAAGGGCCTCAAAGGACTCAAAGGACTCCAAAGGACTCCAAAGGACTCCAAAGGACTCCAAAGGACTCAAAGGACTCAAAGGACTCCAAAGGACTCAAAGGACTCAAAGGACTCAAAGGACTCCAAAGGACTCAAAGGACTCCAAAGGATTCAAAGGACTCCAATGGACTCCAAAGGACTCAAAGGACTCAACGGACTCCAATGGACTCCAAGGACTCCAAGGACTCAAAGGACTCCAAAGGATTCAAAGGACTCTGCAGGACTCCGCAGGACTCAAAGGACTCAAAGGACTCCAAGGGCTCGAAGGACTCAAAGGACTCCAAAGGACTCAAAGGACTCCAAAGGACTCAAAGGACCCAAAGGACTTAAAGGAATCCAAGGACTCCAAGGACTCAAAGGACCCCAATGGACTCCAATGGACTCCAAGGGCTCAAAGGACTCAAAGGACTCCAAAGGACTCCAAAGGACTCCAAAGGACTCAAAGGACTCAAAGGACTCCAAAGGACTCAAAGGACTTAACGGACTCCAATGGACTCCAAGGACTCTAAGGACTCAAAGGACTCCAAAGGACTCCAAGGACTCCAAGGACTCAAAGGACTCCAAAGGACTCAAAGGACTCAAAGGACTCAAAGAACTCAAAGGAGTCAAAGGACTCCAATGGACTCCAATGGATTCCAAGGGCTCAAAGGACTCAAAGGACCCCAAAGGACTCAAAGGACTCCAAGGGCTCAAAGGACTCAAAGGACTCCAAAGGACTCAAAGGACTCAACGGACTCCAATGGACTCCAAGGACTCCAAGGACTCAAAGGACCCCAATGGACTCCAATGGACTCCAAGGGCTCAAAGGATTCAAAGGACTCCAAAGGACTCCAAAGGACTCCAAAGGACTCAAAAGACTCAAAGGACTCCAAAGGAATCAAAGGACTCAACGGACTCCAATGGACTCCAAGGACTCCAAGGACTCAAAGGACTCCAAAGGACTCAAAGGACTCCAAAGGACTCCAAGGACTGCAAGGACTCAAAGGACTCCAAAGGACCCAAAGGATTCCAAAGGACTCAAAGGACTCAAAGGACTCAAAGAACTCAAAGGAGTCAAAGGACTCCAAAGGACTCAAAGGACTCAAAGGACCCCAAGGACTCACAGCATTCCAAAGGACTCAAAGGTCTCCAAAGGACTCCAAAGGACTCATAGGGCCAAGAAAAGTCACCCAGGTATGCCAATTTCCTCTTCGAGGGCGATGTGGAGCGCTTGATGCCTCATTTGGAGCGGGCCATGGAGGTCTTGCCGCAGGTTGGAGAAGTAGGCGGGAGCCGCGGCTGTTCTTGGGATCGTTTAAGGGTCCTTTGGGTAGTTTGAAACAAGACTGCCTCGGTGGAAATCCCACTGTTTTCATCCATTTCAATGGGAAATTCACTCTTGCAGGGATTCACTTTCAAATCCATGGCCATTTCAGGTAGGGCAAGATAGAGTTTCCCGGCACTTCGCGGCAAATATATAAATGGTGGAGGTATGAAGACCGTGCTGAATGGTCCAACTATGTGGCCAGCAGATGGAAATCATTTGGTGGGCCCTGCACCTGAGTGGGATACTGCGCCCAACTTCTGGCTGGCTTGCGCTGAGTGGGGAAGCCAAGCGTCACTAGCACCTTTGCGGTGTGGTAGATATCATGCAGTGGGGCCTAGGGACCTTGCACAACCAGGTCCTACGGTATTGCACACAGTGCTGGCTTGAGCAGATACCTCTCGGAGTCTTGTTCTGCAGGTCTTCAAGGTTGGTGGCAGAGCTTAAGTGTTTTCTTTGTTTGGCTATTGAGAGGGCTGCTCGGAAAAAGAAGAAACCATCCACCAGTGCTATCTTCTTTCGCCACGCTGAGGAGTGGATCGTCAATGGGGAGCCGCCCTATGAATTGAAGGAGGCCGATCCAGCAAGGCCGGAAGCCTGACGGCAGGTGGGAAATGGAGGTTGGAACCAGCACCTTCTGGGAGATGCATTTTTTCATGTTAATTTGTGGAATAAATATGACTATATATGTAATTACATAATGTAATGAGGACAATAGCAACAGCGAGTATTGAGAGTTAGACTATATACTAGACAGTATGGTGATGTTGGCCATGGCGATGATGATGACCCCCCAAAAGTTTTAACTGTCGAGGTTCGCCATTGAAATAACTCCCAACTCTGCGGGCGCTGCGCAGGTATGGCACGTGGGCCACCAAGGACTGGGTGGCGACCAAGGTCAGAGAGACTTACGGCATGAACAACCATGTTCACTTCCCCAACGAGAATCTTTTGGCTGGGAGGCAAGATCTGCAAATCCATATTTTTTGTCCTTGCTTTGATGTATTCCTAGGCATGCAAGCACATTTGCACATGGTTTCAAAAAGATCCAAGATATTATCACGAAAGCTAGCTGTGCTGAAGTTGCTCTTGCTTTAGCAAGGAATAGGCAGGGAGCAGGACCATTGCAAACCCTGAAGCTTTCCAGTTAGACCCCTCCCCCTCCCCCCTGGCATGCCCAGGTTCGATCCCCCCCTGGTCCCCCCGACCCCCCCCGAGAGGAGATTTCCGGCTGGTAGAGGGTCACCCTCCTCACCCTCCTCACCCTCATCCTCATCATCCTCATCATCCTCATCATCCTCATCATCCTCATCATCCTCATCATCCTCATCATCCTCATCATCCTCATCATCCTCATCATCCTCATCATCCTCATCATCCTCATCATCATCATCATCCTCATACATCCTCATCATTCTCATCATCCTCAGCATCCTCATCATCATCTCAATCATCATCATCTCATCACCTCATCATCCTCATCATCCTCATCTCCCTCATCTCTCATCATCCTCATCATCCTCTCCTCATCATCCTCTCATATCATCATCCTCATCCTCATCATCCTCATCATGATCATCATGATCATCATGATCATCATCCTCATCATCCTCATCATCCTCATCATCCTCATCATCCTCATCCTCATCATCCTCATCATCCTCATCATCCTCATCATCCTCATCATCCTCATCATCCTCATCATCCTCATCATTCTCATCATCCTCATCATCCTCATCATCATCATCATCATCATCATCATCATCATCCTCATCATCCTCATCATCCTCATCATCCTCATCATCCTCACCTCTCATCCTCATCCTCATCCTCATCATCCTCATCATCCTCATCATCCTCATCATCCTCATCCTCATCATCCTCATCATCCTCAATCTCTCATCCATCCTCATCATCCTCACCATCATCATCATCCTCAATCATCCTCATCATCCTCCATCATCCATCATGATCATCATGATCATCCTGATCATCACTCATCATCCATCATCATCCTCCATCATATCATCATCATCCTCTCATCCCTCATCCATCATGATCATCCCTCACCCTCCTCATCTCCTCATCCTCATCCTCCTCTCCTCACCCTCATCCTCATCTCCTCACCCTCCTATCCGCATCCCATCCCTCATCATCTCTCAATCTTTCCGCACCCTCCTCATCCTCATCCTCATCATCCCTCATCCTCATCATCCTCATCATCCTCATCATCCTCATCATCCTCATCATCCTCATCATCCTCATCATCCTCATCATCCTCATCATCCTCACCATCCTCATCATCCTCATCATCCTCATCATCCTCATCATCCTCATCATGATCATCATGATCATCATGATCATCATCCTCATCATCCTCATCATCCTCATCATCATCATCATCATCCTCATCATCCTCATCATCATGATCATCCTCACCCTCCTCATCCTCCTCATCCTCATCATCCTCATCCTCACCCTCATCCTCATCATCCTCACCCTCCTCATCCTCATCCTCATCCTCATCATCCTCATCTTCCTCACCCTCCTCATCCTCATCCTCATCATCCTCATCATCCTCATCATCCTCATCATCCTCATCATCCTCATCATCCTCATCATCCTCATCATCCTCATCATCCTCATCATCCTCATCATCCTCATCATCCTCATCATCCTCACCCTCCTCATCCTCACCCTCCTCATCCTCACCCTCCTCATCCTCATCCTCATCCTCATCATCCTCATCATCCTCATCATCATCATCATCCTCCTCATCATCATCATCATCATCCCCATCATTCGCAACATCATCATCATCATCATCAACAACAACAACAACATCCTCATCCTCATCATCATCCTTATCATCATCACACATATGTTGCATTGTCTCGAACATCTTTGTGCAGATTCGGGCTTCATTTGGGGGGCGTTTGTTTTTGATATTGCGTTTCTTTTGCTTACAACACTTGGCGAGAGACGATTACTGCATTGGGGGGGGTTTTCGCTTGCTGGACTCAATAGATTTTGCAACCCTACAACAGCCCTGCTCATCATACTCACCATCCTCATTTTCATCTTCATTCTCATCCTCAGCATCCTCATCATCCTCATCATCCTCATCATGCTCATCATCCCCATCACCTTCATCATCCTCATCATCCTCTTCGTCCTCATTATCGTCGTCATCAACTCATTCCTATTACCATCACTTTGATCATCATCAGTTTCCTTCATCATTCTGGTCAGCAACCTCATCAAGGCGCTGTTTGTGACTTGCAGCAACTCCAAAAAACCACGTAAGACCGTTGCCGCATTCTGACTTCACCTTGCTAATCCCCCTTATGATTACCACCCTACCCCAGCCCTGCTAGCTTTCGTACCTCCCCTCTGGCCTCAAGTATTCTCGGAAGGTCAGTAGATGGAGACGGAATGTGTCTGATCATTTACCCTTTCTGGGAGGCCAGTCGAGCCAGTGCCGAATGAGGCAATTTACGTTCCTTGCCATTGCAAAGGTGGAGGTTTCAGACGGTTAGGCTCAATCAATCAACGTGAGAGAGAGAGAGAGAGACATAGAGAGAGAGAGAGAGCGAGAGAGCAGACTCCACAACTTTTGACGAGATATTTTATCTTGTCATTGTGTTTGTGGAATTCGGAGACTCATCAATCTGAGTAAAGGCCTCGATTGCAAAATGCAACCTAAGCATCGAAAATAAGCCTACCATGTGTGAGCAAGCGAGAAGGGCTGAAAGAATTGTGCTTCAGCGTCATGACGCTATCCTACTTCAGTTTGGATTATCCCATCCCCAAGTTGTTTGGGGAGTTTCGGCCATGCGCCCGCGTGCTTTGGAGAGATTTCCCTTCTCGGGCCCATGGAATTTGGGAGTTTGAGGAACTGCTCAAGTCCAAGGGATGCCAATTCGGTTTCCACAACGGAGCCTTGGCTGGGGGCTGGCGTCGGCAGGGTAGCCATATCCCACAATTCGGTGCCCCCAAAGAGGAACTCATTTGTGGATAGGTCGGATAGGTGGCAGGAAAGTGTAGATGTGTGCTATTTGATGGCAGCCTCGCAACTGTAGAATTTTTTCCATGAAATTTATGTCATAGGAAGATTGGAAGGTCGGAGAAAAACCAATAGGATGGCCATGCGGAGATCAGGATGGGAGAGCGCCAACTACTTTGACCCTGATATGCCTGGTGAGCAGCATGGCAATGCCAAGGGCTCCTTTCGAAGACCTATGTACCAGGAGATTCACTGATCATCACAGATGTTTGTGCGGGCTTGTTGGCTTTGGAGCGGGTCTTTTCCGGACTTTGATTTACGGCTTTTCTAGTAGTTCGGGTGCAGCAAAGCTGCCAAAGGTTGCCAAAGATTCACAGCTTTGGCCTGGAGTCGACACCAGGATTTGGTGGAGAGGGAATGCAAAGAGATGGCTAGCTTCGGCGGAATTTGCAGCTCGGCATGATGGAACGATATGGAACGTATGTTATGTTTCTGGATCTGGTGTAGGTTCAAGATTGTTCAAGATGTGTCATCGTTTCAATGGAATCGGCTTTTGCCTTAAAGCTGCCAGGTAGTGGCATGTCACATTCAAACGCTCTACCAAGGACTTCTTTGACTTTCAATAGTAGACTTAGTAGACGGTGGAATCCATTTGGAATTTAGCTCCAAACAGATCCAATTAATAATTACACTGTGCGCAGCAGAAGCAACCCATGCTACCCATGCATGGCCCATGCTGCCAAAGGCTACTGGCCGTTCGCCAAATACCACGTGTCTGGACCTGGCGCGGTCGCTTTCATGGACCGCATGGTGCCCAACAGGTGTGGTTTGAAAGTGCTGAGAGCTCGTGACAGCTCGTGACAGCTCGTGTTTGGAGTCTTAAAACCGCTGGCTTTGGAGGCTCCCCAATGTGGGTCGCTGTGCCCTCTCCTACTTTTTGACCCCGCAGGCGTGGATGAACTGACAAGACTGACAAGGTTGTTTTAGAGGTGAAGAAAAGATAAGAAAAGTAAAGCTTCAGCTGCTGCCTCGATTTTGTGTGTGCTTTTTCCATGCCACATTAAACTAGGGGATTTTGGAGAGATGATTTGATTCTGACTCATTATTCGATCACCTTTGCAAACCAAGGTTTCATGCGTGTTTGCACTTCTTACTTTGATGCCACAAGCAGGAAATGATGGCGAATAGACACGAGAAGAGTCTGTCATGCCTCGGCAGGGCAAGATCAGCTCCGAAGTGATGCTGGTGCGATTAGCGGAGGACAAATTCTATGTTGTGAGCTATCCTGAACAGGACGCCATCGAGAATCATTGAAAGGGAGACAGGAAAGATTCTGCAGGTGTTACTGTATGTCATATGATGTCATATGTTCCTTTTGGTAGTGGAACATTTGACTTCAGCTTCTCCAATGCTTGGAAATTCCCAGGAACATTTTGACTGGAGATGGCTTCATATGCACAAGCCCTCCGAGGGAGTAGAGATCGAGAATGTCACTGCCAACTTTGGCACGCATGCCTGGCATGTGATGCAACAGCTGTTCCGGATCCGAAACAAACCGCCCCCGAGTGAATCTTTTGAAGGTCTTGTGAGTTTTGGGCTAGAACAATGAAAGCAAACACAACTCAACAAAATTCCCAGAATGAAACCAACGGTCCTTTTTCAAATCCATTTTTTGACCATTTTTGGCTTAAGAAATCCAGAGGAATCCAATGGGTTTTCCCACCAGGCTGATGGTCTCTGGCCCCGAGAGCCGTCGGGTGCTGGGCGAATTGGCGGGAGATGCAGAGGCCTGGTCCAAGGCGCTAGGGCCGGTGAACGGGTCGAAGTTGGGAAAAAATGGTTGAAACCTTGGTGCACAATTTGTGGAATGAGTTAAAACTGAGTTAAGACATAGATCAAACACTGATCTAGATGAGAGATTCATTTTTTTTTGGAGGTGGTTGCCGAGGAAAATGGCAAGCGGTGATTGGCCTTTGGTTGCAGCGCTGAAATGATATTGTGTGTTCTTTTTCTTTTGAATGGTGATGGGTCTAGTCTCCAGCGACATGCCTTCAGGCATGGAATGGAGGGTTTTGGAGGTGGTTCACCGCCAGCTCTCAAGCGCCGGCTCCATTGCCAGGACAATTTTAAATTTTATGCCTGGAGAGAAGTTGAACTCGCAGGCATCCCTTGCTTGGGACCTCAGTAATTCAGGATTGGATAAAAACTGTTGAACATCCCCAAAACATCATCCAAAAACTGGATTATCGGATAGACATGATAACATCATGATAACATCATGATAACATCATGATAACATCATGATAACATCATGATAACATCATGATAACATCATGATAACATCATGATAAACTGGACTGTGTGACATGTTTGACCTGTTTGATCATGGTCAAACCATCCCAAAGGCCCAATGCTGTGCCCCCAACTGTAGCACCAAGGCCGGGCCTTGCGCGTGTCCTTCACCGGAGAACTGGGATGGGAACTTCATCCCGCCACGGCAGATGTGGCCCCACTGTTGGGGCGGCCCAGTCGGTGTCCGGAGAGATGTGGGTGAGAAAGCCGCTAAGCCGATGAGGCAGGAATGGAATGGAATGGATAGCAAAGATCAGCAATCGCATTAAACTCTTGGACTCTATCTACATGTGGAGCGTTTCATAGGTTTAGGCTTCACAATGGCTGGGGCCGACATGTAGCAGAGACTGCACAGCAAACATACGCTGCAACCCAACCAGCACCAGCTTCCAGGAACAAGGCGCTCCTTCTGTTTGTTATGGCAATTTCGCATGTGGAAATCCCCAAGTCCCCAAGCTCTAAGAGCAGGTACCCACTACACAGCAGCCTGTGCTGAAAGTTTTGCACCTGGAGCACCCTTGGCCTGAGGTACCATGCGCTGAAAAAGGCCGAACCGCGGCTGAACGATTGGGGAGGCTACGCCATGGGATCTTTCCGTCCCCTGGCAGGTGTGAACTCGGTGCTGCCATGCAAAAAGTTGCTGACATCTATATACATCTATCATCTATCACATCATCGGCTCATGGGTACTGATGGGTACTGATGGGTACAGTCCATCTTGTTGCTCTCAAAATTCAATGAGTCCCACAGTGTTGGTGAGCCACTGGAGCCCAGGTTTGGAGAAAGGCTTCAAGGCATTTGGCTCCGTTCCTTGGCCGAATCCCATGTGAGTCATGTCACTGACTACAACGATGCGCCGCGCCCAGGACATGACGAAGGATCACCAGGCCTTAGAGGCTGGAATCAGCCAGGAGCTGAGCCGACTCCATGCGGTGCTGTGCTGGCACCAAAATCAGATACACATTGGAGGCCCCAAAGACCTGCAAAATCAGGTCATTTTCAGTAGGAAATGATCTTCATTCATACTTTTGACCTTCACATTTCATGAAGAATCAGGGGAGAGACAGAGAAAGAGGAAAGCTCTGGCACCAAGGTGGTAAATTCCTTCGCATGGAGCATCCCCTGCCTGTGTTGAGACTGGGTTTGATCTCATTTCAGCATGGCTCGGTTGGTCGCATGCCCTATGCCTTTTCTTGACGCAAGAAGGACATAAATCCATGTCAGACTTGGGAGACACATTAAGTGGTTCTCGGTACGACATTTCCATATCTCCAATCTTCTACCGCTGCCAAGTTGACAGGAAAGACTTCATTGGGAGGGATGCCCTTGCTGCAAACCCTACACCAGTGCCTGCCTCGGCCGGTTCTCCTCCTTCAAAGGCAAAACGATAGCTTTCTCGGTTTGTAGGTCTGACTTCTTACTTGCAAGGGCATCCCCCCATAATGTCAGCTTTGGCAAAAGTTCGTGATGGAACACTTTGTACTTGGGGTGTGAGTTGCCCAATTTTTGATGAACAGGAGTGACTTGAGATGCTTGCTTCCAGACAACCAAGGAAAGGCGGTTGGTCCACTTAGCTGTGTCAGCACCAGAAGGCGAGAAGCACATCGCATCCTTCAACCAACGACATTTCTTTGTTTAAGCAAGTTGAATTTGGCATGCTTGTTCTCTGCAAGGCACTGATTGCGCTGGGAACGAACCCATTTTCAACGAAAGTACAGGACTTCGCTTTTACTCGAGGAATTGTGACCGAATACACTTTCCTGCATTCCCAAGTCAGTTGAGATTGTGATTCGTTTGAGACGGCGAGATTTCAGGAGAAGTGGTGGGTTTCACGACTAGCGGAGGGTTGCAAGCTGAGTTTCTACCTAGATCAGACTTGCGGAAGACTATTCCTGGATCGCGTGCGTGAGCCTTCCATGACTCAGGTACGGCTACCTTGCACAGCAGAGCATTGCCTTTGGGTATGTCAAACCCTTAAGAACAAGTAGGCACTTTGAGACTTAGAACGCGTTGTTTCGAGCATCATGAGCATCATGAGCACCTGAGTTCACTGAAACATTCTGCCAGTAAGAAAGAGCCTTGATGAAGTCTTCAATTTTGAGCCAAACGACAACGTCGATGAAAGCAGTTGGCTTGGCAGATCTTCCACTGAGAACTCACAGGTCGCTTCTTCCGCGTTGGATGCCAACGCATCCTTGGCGGTTGAGGCACGACAACGATTCATTACTGCTTATCTTGTCGCTGTTTAAGGTGTTTTTTGGTTTACTTGCGACTTCTGCTGACTGGTCCTGCAACATGCTATCAAAACTGCCGCGAGAAACACATGGAAACACACGCGATGACTAGTTGCAAGTTCAGTTGCAAGTTCACCTGATTGGTTCGGCTTGTGAGTTCAAGCGCCAAAGGGGTGTTGGAAGCTCTTAGCTATGGAGCCATGGATTGATCCAAAATTGGACAGGTTGTTGGTGAACGCGTTCCCGCCAGAGTGCAAGAAAAGCGGAGCTGGCATGGAATTGCCTTCCACTGCAATTTGATGTGAGCTGATTCCAACAGAATTATTCCAGCGAAGCGGCAAATAGACTAGCTCCAGATTGAAATGAACTTTCCCATGCTATACACAGCGGTTTTGATATTCTGATTGCAGTGGCCTGGTTTCTTATAGCGTTCCCATGGCCCAGGGGCTTCCCAGTGAAGCCTGTGGAGGCTCGAGCCAGCATCTGTCCAGGATCGGATGATCAGCTCTTGGTTTCAAAGAGAATCAGCCCTTGCAGGTGGCAAGCCAGACCTTCATCAGGATGGAGCAGGTTCGTTCAACTTGAGGAAAAAGATGAAGTCATACAGTTGTATGATATCAGTGATATACAATGTTGTGAATATCTTATACGTATACATGCATGGTTTCTGACTTAGCCTTCTCTATGGCTGTACATGGTCATTTTCCAATTGCACTTATTGGTTTTTGCGAGTAGTTGTTGCTGGGGGTGGTGGTGGTGGCGGCGACAATGGTGGTAGTAGTGCTCGTGATGGTCATTCAACACGATCATGATGTTGATGCAGACAAAACAGCTAATGAGTAATGACATTTGATGGCTTGGGATGAACAAGAAAGAACCATGTGTAATACATAACCACCAGGAACCAACAGCAGCACCAACATTTCAGCCAGCGATTTTGGTTCGCTCATTAGTTCGCCAGGCGCCAGCAGCAAGGCAGGGGGACATGTGAACCGGCCATGGAAATGCAGTACCTGTGTTGGATCTGTGTTTTCATGCCATTTGTCACCAAGGGATTCTGCTTGAAGACTAGGCAGAAGCCAGATGTATCTCCGTTGTTGCCTATAGCTGAAAAGCCTAATCTTAAGTTTCCATCTCTAGATTTGCAGCTTACAACTTTTTCAACTTATCCTGTTTGCTGAACTGGAGCAACTGGAGCCTTGGGACATTGCAGACCTTCAGGCCGAGCCTCTGAGATGTGCTCGTTGGCTTCAACGACAGCGTGACTCAGGCGGGGCTTGGATGGCCAAGTTGTTGAGGTTGAATCACTGAAGATGAAGGTTTCTGCCTAGACATCTCACGGTGGAGCAAGCGATGACCTGCTGAGGTTTGCTGAGGGGCTCAAAAAAAGGCTTGGAATTTGAATGTAAATATGTGTACAAAAGAATGCATAGGTGAGAAACTCGGGAGCAAGTGGAAGGTTTCCGCCAGAGACCTTCCTGCCTCACTTTCAAGTGGGGCGCTCTTCCTGTCTCCTGCAGTCAATTAGAATCTCTTTCTTGGTTGCCAGTTTGGCAAAGTAGATGAGTAGATCGGCATGCACAACTATTGCAGCTTGGACTATGAAAAGACCCGAGCTGCAGTTGGAGTGGTGGGCTTCCTAATTTGTTGTATAGCTCTTGTGCGGGTGTGTTGTTGCGCTTCCCCAGATGTCCAACCAGAGAAGTTCCTAACTGCTCTTAGCCAAAAGCGTCTGCCTTCAGAACTTGAAATGCACGAGTGCAGGTTTGAACGTGGCTCAAAGCACCTTAAATTAAATGTCACTTCATGGATCATCATCGAGTCCTGCTCTGCTCACTTATTCAGACCTATTCAGACCTAGTCATTTTTCTCGTTTCAAACCATTCAACTTCCCTTCAATACAGACACGCAAAAGTTGAGGTACCTGGGTAGCATCCCGTGCGCTTACAAACAAGTCCGGTCAAAATTCGAAATACTGTAAGTCCTATACGTATAGCCTATAGTATGATTCGAAAAGCTGGAATACCTTGCTCTTAGACGATGTTGTCGAAGGCCTTGTCCACCTGGCTGTAGCCACACCATTCCTCCGCCGTTGCTTTTGTGAGGAGTGTGAAACCGAGCGAAGGGTCTTGCAGGGCGCCAGGAAAGCGGATCACCAAATTGAATGATTATAGGGGTCCTCAAACAGACAGAACCGTGATTCCTCACTGTTTTTGATGAGGATTGACTTTTCCATCACTTGTGGGATCCCTTTTTTGAAGGATCTGGCAAATTAGGATAATTAGGATCCACAGAAACACTTTCTACATCTACTCATTCTTTTCCTGTCAGGAGATGCCCGAGGGAAATATTCCCCCCTGGCGCTTTCGTCACAATACGGCCGAGGACGGGGTGTCGCCATCACAGGTAGGACACGTATGAAGGCACGAGGTAGGAAAGGAAGGCGCATCCAGAGTGCTATACATCCTCAAATGTGTTTGTACTCGCGAACATACATGGCCCACATGGTCAAAGACCATCAAAACCCGCTCCACACAGCTTGGAGGGCTACCTCGTTGTCGTTGGGGATTTGCTGACAGAGAAAGCTTACGAATCACGCACATGCCTTTTGACTACACAATTTCCGTGCGAAGCTTCGCTCAATCATGCACCTCATTCGCAGGAGGTGCTTTACTTGCGCGAAAAGCACAACAGTCGCCAGGACTTCTGCAAGAGTTGAATAAAGCCTGATTCTCTGGCGAAGAAAACTTCCTTGTGATTGCGTCAGTCTCTTTGAAGCTGCAGTTTCTGCTTTATCATTAAAGTGCAGCTACTGTGGGAAGTGGGCTTGATAGGACCCTGACCGGGTCGCAAGATGGAAGAGATCCTCTCCGTTGGTGCCTTTGGAGTGGGAGAACTGTTCTGTATCCCCAAGTGTGTCGAACAAATGAGGTGAACACCTCAGGAACCGTTGGGCGGTTTCATTTTGGGCAACCTCATATTGTCTTGATTTTTCTTGCGTGTGTGGCTCAGACATATGACATAATAAACATATCTAATATAATATCTACATATTTCCTTAACCGAATTCAACCTCGGCACCGCTGAAGCCATGCTGAGCGAGAGCTGGGTCTTGGTTCCGACTCAAGCTGGAGTCTCATCACGCACCTTCCTACAGGTGAGGATATGGGACATGGGAAGACTGAGCACAAACAGTACAAACAGCACAATTAGCACAAACAGTTCATCATCATATCCAGCCCGCGTCCATGGTCAGGTTGGATCTCCTTCACCAAAACAACCACAAGTGAAGGCTGATGGCGCCAGAAGCAGCTACAAGGATCATTGTGTATTGTTGAATGCTTGATTGTGGTGGTCCGTGGCGGTCCGGTGGTTCGTGAGTGCCTTCCCTCAAGATGGACACTACCTAGAATAGACATTTGCAAATTCAATCATCAGACATCCATAGACATCCTAGGCAATCCAGCCCCAGGACTTGCGAGTCCCAGTGCTTGCCGCTGGTGCAACTGTGGGTGCGGTGCTAGCACAGCAGACGCGCAAGGGCCGTGTAGCACGGCGGTTCCGAGACGAGGAGCCAAAAACAGTGACAGAAAGAACACGAAAGGATACATGCACAAAGTCTATGTTTTTTCATTTTACAATATATGTCAATAGTATAGACTTCATATAGACTTCATAATCTTCATACATGCACATCGCAATATATTGTGGATTTCTTACATGTGGTCAAGTCGAGGTGAAGGAAGAGGATGTGGGAAAATGAAATCAAGAGATGGATTGAAAAATCCCGACTTCAAGTATCATCATTTGTAGGTTTGTAGGTAGCCATCATTTAAGGATCCTGAAATGATGCTGGTCTGTAAGGATGGTATGTTCGCCATGTTTCTTGTTTTTCTGAGCTTCAAATGATTCTGGCCGCAGAGGAGAGAAGAACGCATTCTGAGGCTGAGCTGGACACTTGGCATATTGGACTCCGCAAAGACATATCTTCGTGTGAGGTCTGAGCAGATGAGATGTCTGAGCTACTAGTAGTCTCCATTCTCAAGCAGGGCTTCCCTCAAAGCGCAAAGCTCCACTAGGGTAAGAGATGCAAGCACTGCGGCGAAGGATATGTCTGTGAATGGAGCCTAGCAACCCTATGAGGCCAACGAAAAATGCAATGAAGTCTTTACACGTCCTTGCAAATATACCGAGTATTTTCACATACAACACGTGCTGGGAATCTTCTGCTCTAACTACTGTAAAAGTCTACTGTAGAGTGTTTGGATCAACGTATTTGACGAAGAACCAAAACTTTGAGCCGGGTCTCAAGGATTGGTCAGCCCTGAGCGAGTCCATGTCTCAGCAGCCGCAGAGTTCTGCCGAGCAGGTGCCGTAGCGACCTAGTGGATGTGGGTATGGATATGTTGCGGCTATTTTCCAGTAGGAACTAGATTCAATATATACTGTATATAATATTCATAATTATATATAAAATATGTATATATATATACATATTATTATATATATATATGTATGTATATATATATATTATATGTAATTATGTATATAACTATATACATAGACATATATATATATATAATCTATCATATCTAATATGCAACCTGTTCGCAGATCATGAGACTTGGAGTCTGGAAGATCTCATCATTCAAAGTTCCTTTGCTGTCCCTTGAGACTTTTGTCTACCATGCTATCAGCGATCCATTGTTGGACCCAAGGTGCAGCGAGTGGGTAGTCGCCAGATGGTGAAGGGTGGGTTGCCTTGTGCGCAGGAGAAGCCAAAGGCAGAGATCACCTTCGAAGGCAAAGGCAGACCAGTTGAACTGCTGATTGATATGATTGGCATATGCTTCTTACAGTAGATTTTGGATGATTTGGGATATTTCTGAATGCTGCTTGCTGCTTGATTAAACAGTCCTCTTTGGGCCCTTTGCCACTTTGCCACACTCAGCTTTTTGATGGCTTGGAAATGCAATAAGAGAAATGGTACTGCTATACGGAGTCATCTCAAGTGAAACGTGCTAAAACTCCCATAGCCAATGACGGGTGACCAGGTGACCGGGTGACCCGATTTGCAAAGGTTGGAGCAGCTTTCATCCTGTGCGGAATTCAATGACCTCTGTGACTTCAGGGAAGCTGCACCTTGTCAACTTGACAGGCTGTGCTCAGTTGAAGCAATCTCTGGATCGGGGAGTGGTGCTTCGTTTGTTTCCAAGGTGGGTTAATTTGGCTTGCACCTGCAATGCTGGGCTACAAACTATAACCAGCAGACACTTACCGTGTGAAGTTACAAGTTATAGCTATCCACAGTTAAGGGTCTGCCCTAGAGTTTGAATGAACTTTTTGGGTCCCATGTGGCAGCAGTCCAGCTCAACATAACACCAAACCGCCCAGGAACGCAGAGTTGGCCAACGGTCGCTTGGCCCTCCTCTCTGCCGAAAGGGCCACGCGTGTCAAAGCACGTGCAGCGGCGACGGAGGAGGACCTTAGCAGCTTTGGATCAAGAAGAATCCGAGTTCAGTTGGTGTTGCAAATTGAAGGCTTGGTCAATTGGACTGCAGAACTGCAGAACTGAATCTAAGTCGGAATATGTGAGGGTATGATAGGATCCTGTATTCGAAACTCGGAAAGTTCCAAACACGAACCTTCAGGAGGATATTGCGCTGGAGCGCAAGAAGTTCGACCTGAAGCTTGGTGCTGTTGGTGCCTAAAATCCCAATGCATGACCTTCAACAGATCTGTTCTACTCCAATACAATTGTCTAAGAATTTCATCACCAGCTTGATGCTAGTGGAAACTACACACCACATAAACCATATCAAGATTGTTAGTTAGATCACATTTTATATCCCTATTATCCCTATTGTTTGTTGGTTAAATCTACCGCCCTTCCAATCCTTCCACTTCACCTTACGACCTCAGGAAGCAGCTCCCCAGCGATGAGGGCTACGGCTGGGATCCGACAGATGTGGAAGCAGAGAAGCCGTGGCTCGGCCCATGGAGATGCAAGTTTCGGGTCGGGATATGTATATATATACATACAATATAATAGTAATAACACTAATGATAACTAACACTAATAATAACAACAATAATAAGTAATAATCAAAAATAATAACAATAATTGTAATGTAACAGTGATGAACATACATGTACAATATATAATATATTATATGTATTGTAATGTATGTATAATATATATATATATATACATAAATAGTTAGAACATGAATCAAGATCATGAATCATGGATCTGAGTTAAGATTCATTCCACCGGATCTCTTGCAGATGTTGCGGATCTGCAAATACTGGTACCAGTTCATAGAAAAGAGGATGGTGTGGAGGATAAGCTTTGTCTCAAAAGTCGATTCGCTGGAGCTCTGGCAGTTGCTCCTGGAAGGTAAGTGATTTCTGTTTGGCTGAAACCAATCCATTCTCACTCCGAGATTAATCAAAACCTATCAAAACCTATCACACCATCATCAGAGATGAACATCCACAACTCCATAATCAGCCACTTTGGTGACCGTGATAGGGCTTTCAGCCATACTTACCCGTTTAGTGATCCTGCAAGGTGGTGCTCACCAGTTATGTTTCGTCTTTTTTTAAATCCCTGATGAACTATAGATATGTTAACTTCAACTCCAAGTTATGTTAGTTATCAAATCACCAAGCCATGCTTTTGTTGTTCCCTCCGACGGGGTGTTCACGCGCAGACACACTGCTGAATGTGCATTTTGTACTGTTTTTTACAGTGTTTTCTGCTTCTCGACAATGCTGCCCTGGGGGGCAGGAACAACTGTTTCTTCGAGTGATGTTTTCTGCCTTTGTCCATTTGCACTGGTTTTTACAGTGTTTTTCGCGCTTTCGCACTCTTGTTTTTTTGCACCATCTGCGTTTTCCCTTGGTTTTTACAGTGTTTTCAGGCTTCATGACGTTGCTGATGCTACGCTGCACATTGGGGTGGGGTGGGGTGGGGCAATCACGTTCATGTGAACTTGATCACGTTGTTGAGGCTTCATCATGTTGCTGATGCTACAGGGGGGGATGTTAACGTTCCATGTAACTTGCTCACGTTGTTGATGCTACGCCACGCTGGGGTGGGGGGGGATGTTAACGTTCCATGTAACTTGACAAACCAAGTCGGCCGCGCGTGAACAGGCCGTCCGACCGTGATTTAATATGAAGTATTACCAACCAACTTAGCTAAGGACATGGGGCACCTTGAAACGCTCGCCGAGGTTTGACCCCTCCGAGGAGGTGGTTGGCATCACCGATCCCTTGGGATACTTCGATCCCCTGGGATTTGCCAAGGTTGGCGACTTCGAAGGGCCCCTTGGTGTCGAAGCTGGCAGGGGCAAAGTTGACACCCCGGTGACATATATTTATATCAAAAAAAACATCTAATCTCTAATTCATTTAGTTTTATCGAACCATATCGAACCATATGAAATCATAACATATATAATCTGTATATGTCTTAATGGGTCAATAACTGCAGCTGTACAATGGCTCGCCAGGCTTTCCAACCTGTTTTTCAATGGCTCAGCTTTCCAATCCCTTCCCTGCCGAGGTTCCGCTTCAAGCGAGCGGCTGAATTGAAGCATGGACGCGTCGCCATGCTGGTTGCTTGCTTGCGAAATCTTGCGAAAGATCGAGACAGACATAGCACTGCCGCAATTGGCAGCGACACAGGTTTTTCCTGTCCCTCAATGATTTGCGAACCTTGGTGCATTCCAAAAATGTGTGCCCGGTAAAACTTGTTCGGCTTCATGATGTTCTTACACCGCAAGAGTCACGGGATCGGATGCAGGCTTCAGTTGGCCTGGTCACGCAGCACTACGTGCGCCTTCCGGGCTTCGACATGGCAGGGACCGGGTCCAGGTTTTTTTGGTGGTCACGATGCTGCGTAGAGGCGACAGGCCGAGGGACTCACGGAGAAGATGCATTATTAAAAACTAAGTATTGCCAAGAGAGATGAAAAACACATTCTGTTCCAAAAGAATCGAACATCAGTGTAACATCAGGAACTCTACCAACAGACAATCTTGTTGCATCAGGACTGACTGGGCCAGCCAGTTCAATACCATTGTCACAATCCCAGCCCTCTACCAATTCAGCCCCGTGGCATTGAATTGCTGGGGGTGGGGCTACAGAGTCCTGGCAGTGATGCCGAATTCACATTACCCAATTTCGCTGTTTTATTTTTGTTGTATTCCTTTGAACTTGGATAAATGTGTGATAGGACAACGACATGCACAGCATTCTTAGCCCATCTCCTCCCCGTTGTGCCGTTGAAGATTTCCTGCCGCTGCTCAGCTATCCTGTTGATTGTCATCCTATTCTTGGAGCTGAGTATTTGGGCCCAGGTGCAGCTGGGGGTGGTGCTTGATATATGGCTATCGCTTATGGCTATATAAACAATGGTGATGTAAAAATCTTGGTTAGGTCAATAACGCACTACTCACTTTTCTTGATGATTTGTTCAATTTTGCTTCTCTCTGAAAATTGAGGGCTATCCCCCATTAGTGATGCTGTTAATCACACTCCAGATCAGCTAGTGCAAAAACTTGAAGCCATGAAACCAGAAGTCATGACGCAGTGAAGCAGATCCTTATGTCGCCGAAGTCAGGAGGAAGACAAGGAGCCTGGCAACTTCGGCGATCCGTTGCTTGGCAGTCTAATCCGTTGCAGTTTCTTCATGCTGAAAGTTGCTGACATACCGACATACCATGACCATCATGACCCGTCTAGCATCATCCAGCATCACCAGTACCAGGCTGAATCTGGGCATGTACAGCATCGAGATGCGCAATAGTCCCTTGGACACAGACAATGGTCTCACAGCAGTTTGGGGTAAACGGTTCCAGTTTGTTCAGGGTAAAGAATTCCAGGGAACATCGCACCTTTGAAGGCGACTTATTGATTATATGGATGTTCTCCATCGCGAACATGTCCCGGATGTGAATGCTGAGGGGAGCTGAACAATGGACGCTTCGCCATGAAACTTGGATGTTGAACAAGGATGAACAAGGTACCTGCCAGTTGGGGATGGTTTACTGGGTTTACCACCAATGGACATCCAAGATTTCTGGGGAAATCAATTTGACAGCCAGGGCACCAGGAGGATGGGGAAGGGCACAACTGAGTCCTTAAAAACAAAAAACAGGTTGCAAGAACAGTGCAGTTTGACCATCAGTGTCTTGTTGCTTTTTTTATTCACATCATCTTGTCCTCTCAGATGCAAGTTGCTTATTGCCTGGATTCGATTTTTTTTTTTAAATATGTTTTGTTTTTCATTTACATGAATAACCAACTCCATCCAGTATAGTATGTAACTTGACCTGGCAATGCAAAAGTCTCCGCTTTGTAGATTTCCTCTGAACCCCGGAATTTGTGTCACGTTTCGGTCCAGACCTTTCAACTGGAGGCCATGAGATGCCACTCCGAGGTTTGCGACGGTGGGGATCATCGCCGCTCAGAACTTCTCTGGCAAAGATGCCGTGGAGCAGCTGGGTCTGTAAAGCCCGTGACGCCCAAAGCGGAAGGCTGCCACGACAGGCCCCACAGGCACGACATACCGCAACTGTAGCAGGTTGCGGCGTGTGCCTCGGGCTGTGAAGGTTCAACATGGTTCAACATGGTTCAACATGGTTCAACATGGTTCAACTACTTTCTAATCCGAAAAATTCATGGCAGATCCAAAGAAGCAGTTTCTGTCTGACTGCATCTGGATTTGTTGCGAGGCTGCATCAACGCAGCCAGAAATCTCTTGCTATCCTTGACTGGAAGGCAGATTCAACCCACCAACCCGAATCGGGCACAGCATGACACAGTGTTTGTGTAAAAGCTTAGACTTCTGCCTCACAGTCATTGGCATCTCGCCAGTAGCTTCCCCAAAAAACATGTTTGGAGTTTCTGAAGATGTGATGCAGATCTAGCACACTCCAGGTCCTTCTTGTTTGAGAAATACGGTGGATGGAACCAAACCAACCAGTGGTGCAACCACCCAACTCCAAACAGTGATCATTTCGAAGGGGATCTTCCGGGGGCACTTGCTCGATGCGTTTCACAAGGCCCATTTTTGGACGAAGCCGGAAGGAAGATGAGAAGTTAGGAAGTTAGGCGTAGCCTAGGCGTAGCTATCAGATCCCTGGAGCAGAATGCCATGATTCAATCATGGACGATAGCCTCAAGATCAAACGAATCGAAGATCTTTGTGACATCTCGATGACATCTCATTCCCCGAAGAGAAGCTTCCATTTTCTGGCACCTTGACGTCCAGTTGCCAGCGACAAATTTGGGAAGCCTCGTGTGACACAACAGCTGAGCAGCTGCTGGGTAGCTGGACAGGGCAAATTTTTCACCGCGGCTTGGAGCGCCACCCTCCAGTGGAATCGACATGTTGGAAGTATTTGGAAGTGGTGGTTGGATTTGAATCATGAGGAATCTATATAAATTTAATAAATTTCAACCTCAGTACCTCAGATTCAACCTTAACTGACGTCTTGGTCTGAAAAGCTTCCGACAACCCAAGCTCATTGCTGAACCGATTGAGGGTGGATCTAGCGCTCCGAATACCGGTCTCAAGAGATGTGATTCGGACAAACAACTTCCTCAAGGGGTTCAGTGCTGCATTCTTGGGACTAGGAAGATGTGACATTTAGCTTACTCCTTTCCAAGATTAGCTACAAATCTGTTTTGCACAAGCCCACGTGGTGCCACTGTCTTTATCTCTTCATGTGTTTGGCCAGAATAGAGCAGTGTTTGGAGATTGACAGAGTCAGCACCATGACTTCTCGCATCACGAGGTCAGCCAGCCAGGAGGTGTGGAGACTGTTTGTTTTTAGATGCTTTTAGACCTTTAGATTCTTTAGATATTTTCCACAGTTTTCCACAGTTTTCACTCTGGGTTGCAAATTGATCCACTGAGCATGGCATTCTGCATGTCGCAGAGGTTCCGTCAGAGGACGGCTCAGATGGGGTTTTCCTGGCATATTACAGCCAAGTGATGGTGGAAGTGAAGTCAGCGATTTTTTTATTGAGGTCTTTCCAGGTCTCCCCAGGTCTCTCCGCAGAAAAAGATGATCAAACAGGGGTCGCTGCAACATGGTTGTGCCTCAGCAATTGGACCCCTCTGTGCCTTGTGCACTTGGCCAGATGATTGCCTCCGAACATGCCACCGAAGATGTTTGATGCTTAGTGGGATGGTCTAGCTGGCTGTGTTGTAAGAACGAATAAGTTCCTTTTTCTCAGTCATCTCAGTCCTTTCTCTGGCCCCAACCATCTCATGCAGACTGGGCGGAAGAGTGGTAGCTGTAAGCTGCCAATCAGTACCTGGTGGGAACATCCAATCATAGTAGATTTTTTTTCCACTGCAGGGTGAGGAAGTTTGTGTACTCCCAGAGACAGAAGAGGTACCAGAGGACCTGCTGGATGCTGTCCTAGATGCTGTGATACTAGCTGGCCATAGCTGGCCATAGCTGGCCATCTTTCTTGAAATGGGAATTTCCCTGTGATCAGGAGATCTGCGGAGCTGAACTCCAGGCCAGATGGGAGAAATCCACCACCTCCGAAGACATGGTCTGATGATTTTTGTGCAATGTGAAGAATTGTAACCGCAGGCCCTGCAATTTTGCCAAACTCACATTGCATTCCGACATCCTCCGACTTTCCGGGGAACAGCGGGAACAGTCTTGACATGGCAATTGAGGCTTTACCTGCGCCTTTGCCAGTCTCCGGCTCTCCTTTCACTACAGTGCTTGGCTTGGGACCTTAGTGCCTGGCAAACAGAGCCACACAATGTGCTGGTAGAACTAGTAACATCATGTAACCACTATAGATCAATGTATATAACTGGAGACTCCAGGTTTCCTGCGAAAGGAACCGTACGAGTTGCAGGCAAAGCGCGGGGAAACCCAGCTACCCAGGCATCATCTTCCTTGGTTGGCAGTCGTCATGTTACAAAATCAGCTCGTGTTCTTAAGACTGCGAGCACTGGTTCAGGGCACAGGGACATGTGGCCATTTCATGCCGTGGCTCAATGCTCCAAAGGTGCCCAACGGTTCAGCTGATTTTAGCCTGCAATGGCTGGCAGACCGGGGCTGGATACCAAGGATGCCATCGAGAATTACCGGGCCACCATCCACATGGAGAACAGGTTAGCACGTGAATGGGTGGAGCGCTGGGGTTTCTTCAAAGCTCCACAGCGCCGCTTTCGTTCGGAGATGCGAAAGGAGAAACAGTCGAAGAGCACTCCGGTGTTGGCCGCAGCTCAAGAGGTCTTGGAGGTGAAGAAATGGCCCCCACCAGCTCCAGTAGAGGACATCGAGTTTATCAATGATAGACACCGCTTGATGCACCGAAAAAGGCTCTTGCCCCAGCAACGTTATTCCAAGCCAAACTGTAGCTCCCATCAGTATGGCTGGAAGCCTACTATTGAGAAATGGGGTGTTGCTCAGCATGGAGTCAGGAAGTTGGAAGAAGGCAGGGTCGGGCTCAGCACGTTTAAGAATTAAACCGTTTAAACTTCAATCTTTTTAAACACCTTTACAGGGATCTCCCAAAAACGTTTAAAGGTTAAACATGTCCTGCTGATGTTGTTCAGATCCCCTATGGTTTCTACTTCTTGATTTTTGGAATCCGTTTCAACGCTTTAAAATATGTGCGTTTAAACGTTTAAACACATTCCACCGGCATTCAAGCACCTGTGGCACCAGGAATGATGCCGGACGACATAAATTGCACCATGATGCACACCCTCTATGCAAAATGAGTTTCTGACCTTTTCTCATGGAGCATCTGCATCCAGCAGACTCGGTGACCGCATGCATCAAATCTCATGGCAAAAAAAATAGCATCCCTGTGCTACTGTGAAGCTGCACAGCTCTTTCGGGACGCCAGCGATTTGTTTCACTTCCAGCATAGCTGGCACAGCCGAAGATGCTTGCCTGCTGCGATTGCTGAAGATGCAAAACTGCTGCGCTTGACTGTGTGATGAAACATGTCCCCCAACATACCTCCGATCAGTATGGGCAATGGGCCTTCCTTCTCGAGGCGACGCAGCGATGCGGAGACAGGTTGCGGGAGGGTATTTGATCTTGGGGAAGTTGGGGGCAGATTGACAGATTCAGAAAAACTCTGGTGATATTTGGGAAGCGTAGTATTTTTCGGATCAAGGGGACAAGAGATTGTACACCTTCACAACAGCCTGGCAGCTTGCTCTGCCTCTGACTCCGTGTTAGCCCAAAGGTAAAGAATATTGCCTTTCAGTTTCAACAGCGTGATGCATCATGGTCATGATAATGGTCAACAATGAAATCATCAACAAACTCGGCCAACTTCATATGGCCCATGCCGCTTCATATCCAGTTTGGCTGCAGGTGCAAAAGATGCTTCGTCAGATCTATCGTCGCAGCGTAGAGGTGCTGAACCTGTTGCGTTTTTTGAGAGCAGCGTTTCTGTAACCAATTCTATATTTTCTGCCTCTGAACAGTCGAACACAACTAGGATCGGTTCGCATAGTGCAAGCTCCTTCTTGACCTGTTTTCGTTCTTGGCCCCTTGGCCTGTGAACTGGGTCTTGGTACCAGCACTTGGACGAAACCAATCCACAGCTCCAACGCACTGCTCTTTGCATCTCTTTACCACTGCGTTCCAGGCCACTGGTTCTGTCTTTCGAAGCGATCCGCCATGGCCTCCCAAGGCGGACGATGGCAGTACGAGTCTGGCAGTACGAGTCGTACGAGCCATGTCAGATGTGTCTGGGGTTGGGGACTACCTTAGCTCTGTTGAACAGTTTGGGGAGCTTATGGGCTTATGATGGCTTATGTGACTCTGTCAGCCAATGGCCTTTAGAAACCAGTTCAGCAGTTGCAGACAGCACCATGAACAAGGAGTGCCACATAAGACTGGATGGTAATTAGTTGCATATCGAGATGATGCACCCACTGGGTTCACTGAATGTTGAAATGGATGTGATATCCCCCAATTGAAAGACATCATGCCAATGAGCTGTTGTGAGCTCTTAGCCTTTGACAGGAGAAGAAGCAGGAGGAGTTGTTGCCAAACATACGGAAGGCTTGCTGAGTGGCATGCTACTTTGATCTACTTTGTCCTTTCTATGAACCTCAACACACTGATCCACGTTTCAATTGCAGACAGAGTCCAAGACCCAGGCAATCCTGCCTACTCTTGAAATCCCTTGAACTGGTTCATCTCTGTTCCATGCTGTTCCCTTTTGTTTCCGTTGGGCCGTTGGCTCAAAAGCCACAAGATCAACCGCCAACCAGCATCAACGCCAGCGCCAGCGTCTTTCAGCGTCTCTGTGGGCCCCTCGGGAAGCGATGTCGGCCCCTAGGCAGGTACAGATGGACTCCATCAATGAGACCGAAGTCGTGGTGCATTCCGCCTGCTGCTGTTGCTATGACGGCTGTGTGCCGGAGCTGAATAATATTGGTTGCGCAGCACAGGAGTCGAGGGTCTGACAGATGATTGATGATGTTTGTAGGTTTCAAGCTATGGATCAAATTGGTGTTAAACCAATTGACCCACAAAAGAAATTACAACATCATATTTAAGATAATATGATACATACATATATATATATATATAAATAAATATATATAGCGTTGGGCAGCCGCTCGTAACTGCCAATGATGTCGGCCATTGAGACCAAAAACATCCGAAAGTACTGATTGTCGGAAAAAAACACGCGAAGAATTTGATAGCCATGTATAGCGGACCAACGCAGTTCAAAAAATAACGAAAAACATGAAAAAACGGCGAAATTGCTGTTATTTACAGTGTTTTTGCGCGGTGAGAAGCAGAAACCACTGCAAATACCGTGGTTTTTGAGGGTCAGGTGGCCAAAAACACTGTAATTTACAGTGTTTTTTTAACCAACGTCAAAAAACACTGGTATTTACGATGCTTTCATTCACACCGTAACATAAAACAGCGTAATTTACGAGGTTTTTGGAAGTTTTGAAGCTAGCCGTCAAGCATGCAGAAAACAGAAAAACACTGTAAAAACCAGTGTTTCTGCTATCACAAAACGACGAAAATCAGTCCGAAAACGGGTCCAAAAACTCAAAAATCCGCCTCCGGGCCCGGCCACCTGCGGAACCGCAAAAAAAGATGTTGCAAACCAAAAAATTGAGGTCAAAAAGTTGAAAAACACGGTTTTTTTTCACTTTTAGCTTGCCGATTTTGGACGGGCGCGTTCACGAACAGGTGTCTTCCGTACTGTTTTTTACAGTGTTTTTTGAAGGCGAGCGTCACGACCTATCAAAAACAGGAGGTTTTGGCCGAAAAATGGTGCCCCCCCCCCCCAGGTAAACCTGTAACCTTTTACGAGTGCCATCCGGAAGATCACGCCCCAGCACCTTCGGTGCGGGCGGATTTTTTGAATGCCTTGAAACCACCAGTGGGTGCTTGACTTTTTGGTCTTGAGCGCGAGGAGACCTTGCTGTGTTTGGAGGCGGATGTGTGCTGCAAGTCTGGCACACCCTGCTTGTGCTGCGGTTGCTGTGCCTTGCGCTGCGTGGAAGTGACTGTGTGCTGCAAGACTCAGTCACAGCTCCTTGTCAGAAGCTGTAACATTGTCACATTGTCCCAGTTTGTATCAGTTTCTGTCAGTTTCTGTTTGCTGCACAGGTGGCATTGTCAACCTTCCCGCTCTGTTGTACTGACAGACCTGTAAGATCTGTCAGACTTTCGCAGAATAAAATGCTAGGCCCTACAATCCGCAGCCTCGACAGCTGAGGTTCTTTTGCTGTGTTGCAGGATCTGCTTTACCACCGGACAGCTCAGTGCCCTGCATGTTCAATGTGTGTTTCCTTAGCCTCTTCCCCAAAATTGGTTGCTGCTTGAAGCTGGGGGACATGAAGTAAGGATGGCTGTGAGGTTGATCAGCCATGGCCAAAGAGGTGGGGAACTCCAAGGCTAGAGATTGCATGATGCGTAATTCATTGGATTCAGGATCTTTGAAGCAAGAACCCATTTTCAGTGCCGTTTGAAACTGTACAGCATCTTGGCAAACCGCCAGCTTGTAAGATGTGGTGTGTGGTCTGTATCCAGGAACATGATGGAACATGCAGGACAGTTCAGTCTTGCTTGACTCATTTGAGTCGCGAAGAAAACGTTGAAAAAAAAACGTCGCAAAGTCTCAACCAGCTCGGTCCATGGTGACTTGGACTTCATCGACTCTCCGCCAGGTGTCACCGTTATTCGCACCATTTGTGAGGGCCCAAGATGGGCCAAGCACAAAAAAAATACTGCGACCTTGGCAGCTTCCCGTGCAGCGGTGTTTTTGTTTGGCCCAGGCTCCCAAAAAAGTCTCCCATTCACCGAAGAAAGCACTACCGGTGGAGGTAGCCTCCCATGCAAAGGACCCGGAAAATGGCTACTGTAATTGCTCCATAGGTCACAACATTCAGAAAGTAGTGTTCCCCCAAAAATGGTGGATTCAGGTGAAATTTGTATAAGAATAACCAACATTTTCTGGGTGAGGTCTGAAATCCTCACCTTTGGCCTTTGGCCCAGGAACCCTCCCAGCAAAACCCTGCAAGACAGGCCCAGCCAGCCATGTCCAACACCAAACATGATGAATTTTGGGTGGTACCATTCTTGACCTGGACAATGCAATCTGCTGTTTTGTCACCCGGAGCCCACGTCGTATGAAAACAAGAAAATAGACCTGTGAAATCCTGTAAACTTGATTTTCAGATACTTTCAGATATTTTCAGATGTAGTTCCAGAACTACATCATTCCAGGCGACGGTACGTTCCATGACTTCCTTTGGGCGTGGCTCACAAGGAGGCCACTGGCCCGCAGGAAAATGACTGAATATGTTCCTGCGGAAATCACGGGATTCCACGCTGAGCACATGTCAGGACCATATACCCTGCGACAAGTCTACGAGGAGGTAGAGGCCAGCGGGTGACACCATAAGTTTCATCCTTCTTGGCTCGTTAGAGCACGCCTTTTTCGTGGATCTTTTTCAGGACATCTTGGATTTCCAAGGATGCATCTTTGCTCTGAATCTTTGGACATGCTATGTTTTGAAGATCTCAGAAACCGAAACCACTGAAACCACTGTTAATGTTGACAGGGAAGTGCCTTTAGAATCTTCCAGATACGTAATGGCTTTGCTTCTCTGGTCCCTACACATCCTTGAACGCTCAACCCTCTGCTGCTGGTTAGGCCGACATTCACCACCGGAGACCAGTGGATGTATTCGCCTCAGCAAAGTCTGAAAGACATCGTTTCGGTTCTTTGGAGACATCCCAACGTTTGCGAGAAGCATTCGCAGAAAATTCAAGGGACAGGAGAGGTGACGAAGAAACACACGACGACACGATGGGAATTGCGAAATTGAATTGCCCTCTACAGACTCTACAGTCTTTGCTGCGGCAGGTGCGAGCCTCCCTCGGACGTCTTGGTCCTGAGCTCTTAGGGTGCCCATCTTGGAGCTGTTTCAGATGCACTGAGAATGACTTTAATCTCTTCGCAGAAATACTGTAGATGGGAATACGGACGATGTATAATGGGAAGCAAAGGATAGCAAAGGGGCTTGAAGCTCATCCGCCCAAATCCTTGACTTTCACACATCTGTAGATTTGGATGTTTCGCAGGGCGTTTATAGCAATCTCAAATGACAATGACCGCACTACCAAAACAAGGTTTTGTTTGGGATTTGTTGTTCACTATCCAGATCATTAGAATGTGATAGAACCGTCAAGATGGGTCTTGTAAAGTTGACCAATAGTCCAGCCACGCCCTCACGAGGCCCGGCACCACACGAATGCGCCGGAAGTTGCCTTTTGCGCATCCGCAGATGTGGGGGGCCTCAGTTGGGTGGGACCACTGTGACTGGACCATATTGGACCACCTGAGCACCTTGAAACCACTGAGGTTGGAGCGCTCACGAAGTGCTGGGACAGCATGGGGTCCGTGTTTTTGGAGGGCTAAAGTGGCTGGGTTCGAAGTCAAGAGCCGTGAACAGCGTTTGGAAAGATTGGGGTTCTATGGTTAGATGGAGTCAGATGTCCAATGTTTCCATGGCACATCCACATGGAATAAGTATGGAGGGAAGCAATCATCCTCTGCAGCCTTCGGGCGTCGGGATTGATTTTGGTGTATCGCAGGAGCCTCATGCTGGGCCGTGCTTGTTCTGCCTGCCATGTTAGAAGGTCTTCGCGATGAAGAATGCAAGTGAACCTACGAATCCAAACTGAACGGTGTTGCTTGGTGTCAAGATTCTTCTTTTATTTCAGGCGAAGTTTTTTTGTTTTCGCGGAAAGACAGTCTCTATCTACTTCAGAAATCCTGACAAGATGTTCTCCTCACATTGCATGCTGGCTATCCTGATTGTTCCTTGGCAACTTGCCATGGGCTCATATTTGTGCAGCAACTTGAGCTAAGATCATGGTTAGACTTCTATATGTATGTATATATATATAATATTATATCCTCTACAGCATTGACTTCCTGCAGACTTGCTTCAGATTCCACAAATCACACAAAAGTTCGACTGTGCGCCAAAGTGTGAAGGGCCCTGGAAGATGACTCATCCCCTGGCATTCGTACTGCGGGGCTCCATCGTTTGGTATTTCTTGCTGATGCATTTCTGTAGTGCCTGATGATGGCCACCTGTGAAGCCTTTGAAGATGAGGACGGGCTCCGAGGGTTTCGAGGGTTTCGAGGGTTTCGATCCTGGACCTGATCTGCTGAAAGGCACCGGTGTTGGCCTTGCCTGAGCTGCCTGAACTGCCAGAGCTCTTTGCTGCTTTGGGCACTGAAGGTATGGGAGGCCGCGAGTTGGACAGCAAAACTTTGTGTAGTGAAAGTAGTGAAATGATCAACAGTTTTGAATCTTTTAATTTTACATGTTTCTACATGTTTCTACATGTTTCTACATGTTTTCATGGATAATTTCGGGTGTGGATTGGTATGGACTTGCTTTGAACTTAGACTTAGAATGTCATAAGATGTATCAAAGAGATGTCTCAAGGACACTGGAAGCCCGGTCCACAAGCATCGGGACTTTTCATGTCATAAGCCCGGAGTAACTTGGGAAGGCCGGCTGAATTTGTAGCATGTCACGGTGTGCTTTAAGAGGTTGGGTTTCCATTGGAGTGCTTGTGTATTGAATACTCTCCCATTGCCAAGAAATAAATACAGGGAAATTCAAGTTTGATGGTTCAACTCTACCCTATTTGCATACTGGATACCATATGCGTCCAAATCCGCTGCAGGCGCACCACCAGGGGTCCCTCCTGCGCTCTGGGCAAGCATGTGCAAGAAGCGCTGGATTCCTCAGGGTAGCCGTTTCAAGCTTTCAACCTACCGTGACCTAGTGATGGTCGATGATGCTCGAGATCATTGAGCTTTGAGATTTGCAAGCTGTCTGAAGGGCCAGATTTCCGTAAAGTCTGTCGTTTTCACTACCAGAAGCAGCATGTTTTGAAGGGAAGTTCACATCCATAGACGGCAGTGCGGCTTCCCCAAAGGTGGGGCCCGCCCGCTAGAGGTTTGGAACACATGCACGAGAGCAATCACCTCACAATGCCACAGCGGGAGGAACATCTCCAGAAGAGGTGCGAATGGTGAGTGATTGTGAGGATAATTCCATTAGACAGTTGTCTCATCATGAACCATTGCATTCGAATTATTTCTAATTGATGTATAGTAACTATTGGTAACTGAACTTAGTAACCCTTAGATACCAGCTATATCTCAAAATTTTGATATGGACATGTAGCCGGAGATTGAACCTGAAAGATCTGAAAGCCAGCTGGATCGCCCTACTGGGTGAGGCACTTCCACGTGCCGGGCCGCGGCCGACGTGTCCTGACGCTGCAGGAAGATCCCACAGGCAGATCTGCACATCGAAAAAGCTGAGGATGTTGGGATTTCCCTAGCGATTTTCAGATCTTTTTATAGCAATATATCATGATTATAGCGATACATATCCCCATTTTTTGGTGATATTTTTTGTGATATCAGGTGACATCCTGCTGATTTTTGGTTCAGTTGGGCTGAGGAAAATTCGGAGGATCCTGCAGCTCTGGCACAGTCCTTTGGCCCGCGGCCACCGCTCTGATTGAGCACCTCGATGCGGAGGCCGCTTGGACCTGGAGCGATGGTTTGGAATATGTTGCAGGTGTGCTGGTTGGAGGCTGACAACATGTCGCAACATGTGACGCTTTCTGCGCATCCAATTCCAAGACCTCACAGACCTCACTTGAGTAAATGTACAACTTGCAAGCCGATGTCAGGGATGAGATGAAGAGAAAGTGAGACTATCAAAACATATTAAGATGCTCAGTTGCAAAGCCATAAGTATCACCTTGCTCCTCTGCCTTGCTCAGGTTGAAAAGTCTTGCTTGAACTGTCGCGTCTTGGAGTTGGGAGCCGGCTGTGGTGCCGTGGGCATGTTCTTGAGCATCTTCAAAGGCTGTGAAGCTTGGCTTACTGAGGCAGGGTGGTGGAAAATGGTGGTTCCTGGCTGGGATGCCTGGGGGGATCCAGTGAGGGAAGGTAAACTTGGGTTGAAAGTGGTTGAAACTAGTGCTAATCCTGGGCAAATGAGTTGGTTGGTTGCTGAATCAGAGACGGGTCGACATTTGTGGTTTGGCATCGCTGAGCACCCGAGCAACCAGTAGCCGCGTAGCCAAGCTTGTGAATCTGGGCCACCATGAACCATCCAGCATTCTGCCAGGCGCCAGAGCAACTCCCTCTGTTGGCGCGCAATGCTTCAGAGAATTCCCCAGATGGTCTGGACTTGCAGGTGTGAAACTGTGAAACCTAGACAAATCATGACACATATAGATAGCTTTGGATGAAAAAAGCTTGTTGGTGCATGGTTTGAGCCATCGGTTTGAGCCATCGGTTTGAACATCTCGTCGGCCAGGTGGCACCCTTAAAATGGGGTGATGCCCAAGCCCTCGAACAGCTGGTGGCATTAGGAGCCTCAGTGGACGCAGTGGACCATGACCAAACCGACCAGCTGTCTTGAAATGTCTTGGAGTAATTTGCTTGGAACACATGTGATGCCTTCCGATGGTTAATCTTAACATATCTTAACATATCTTAACATATCTTAACTGTATATTTTTTCAAGTTGTTGTCACTCTGACCCCGAGCTTGGAAAGAGACGAATCCCTTTTGGTCTGGAAATTCACCCAGATTCCCATCCAACTATGCTTTGACGCCCGACGTGGCCGAAGGAACGTTTGACATGATCGTTGGGAGCGATGTGACCTACCGCCCGGAGTGTCTCAGTTCCTCGAACAAAACTTTGGAAAAACCAGCACTTTGGTTCAGAAATAGTATAGATACAGATGATACAGTGTAGTGAGTGTAGTGATATGAATCCGCAAGTGCATAGATGTTTGACTTTCAGCAAAGGTGACTTGTTGAGCACTGCTCAAAAGCTGCTGTCGCATCGCGGGCGCTTCTTCTTGAGCTTTCAAGACCGACCAGGTGGGTTGCACAAGATGGAGATGAGAGGGTCTCTTTAGACACTCATTGGGATGATTTTTACGGGACAATCTACAGGAAACCATGTTGTTTTTCATCAATTTCGCGCGGTTCCTGTCACTGGCCGTAGGCCAATCCAATGATACATAAATTGGTCAACAAACTTTTTTCCCCCAATGCGGAGGGAGTTGGTCACCCAATTGACCTTCGGATCCCGCTTGTTTTGCACTCTTCCACCGGGGGAGCTTCAAGCATTCCAGTATCTCTGGTCCAACTTTCTTGAAGGATTGATTTCAGGGACAACTTACAGGAAACCATTGGCTTTGACCGGATTTGAACTTCCAACTATGGTAGCTGTAGATTTTCCAACTAGGTTTCCAAGGCTCTTCCAAGGGTTTTCCCATGTTTTCCTGTCTTTTTCTATGGTTTTCCTATGGTTTTCCGAGCGTTTCCCCCGTGGAGCGTCTTGGATTGGGAGGTGAGGAGGCCCACCTGGAAGCTGGCCTCCAGAAGTCGGGCTTCCGTCAGCTGAAGCGGCTGACGAAAGCTGCGAAACTGGAAGGCCAGGGCCATGCAATGATGATAGATGCATAAATGATTAAAAACCATGATTCATTCATGGATTCATGATTCATAAATCATCAATATATGACTTATATGACAAGCCATAAATTTGTACTATATATATATATATACTCATACTGACTCATACTCATGACCCGGTATTGCTTGTGACAATTACATCATACAAGAATGATAAAGAGAAAAGAGGCGGCTCTCATTTGCTTCTGGAGAAGATTGGAGTTGCCTTTTCTGTTCTCTTCTTGTTACTAGTGACTGCTAGTGACTGCTAGTGACTGCTAGTGATGTTGTCCAAAGCCCGTTGCTGCCGTGGAAGTTCTGCATTGCCAAGGTCAAGAGGAAGCCTTGAACCTAGATCTCTGCACGGGAAAGGCCGCTTGAAGCTACAGAAGCTACGGACTGTTCTGGTTTGGAAGTTTTAGAACGGTCGAGTTGGAGTAGGAAAGAGCTTTGTGCCAAAAATACAAATGTTTCCATTAACATCCATCAACCATGGCTTTTCTTTTTCAAACACCCTTTTATGCTGACAACGCTGCAGTTCTTCAAGGAGATAGGTTGGAGGTTCTAGCCGACCCATCCCCAGTCAGATGACCTCAACGAAGTTTGGGCTGTTCAAAGGTCCAGATTGTGATCATCGAACTTTGTCATGCCGATGCTGAACCGGAGGTGATCAGGCTTGTGATTTGTGACCGAAGGGCTATTTGGAGTGTTGGTGGCTACTTAGAAGTTGCTTAAACTACAAAAGATATCAAAAGACATCAGACCCAGGCACTGAATCAAGTGATTTCGGGCCACATTCGGCGCTGCCATTTTCTCCAGTAGTAAATTTCACTATAAGCCCCCTGAGAGAGCCTCTACTGCAGCTGCCTGACTAGCACAGCGGTGATGGTGCAGACCTTCAGACCTAGATGTAGTTGATAGCGGCAACCAATTTGTCATACTTGTGCAACAAACTTGTCATGATCTTGGTCAGCTTGGTGTTTCGGGCAATTTTGGCTCAAGTTTAGCACCAGCAGCCAGCATTGGAGCTTCTCCGCAGTGCTTGCAACTTGCGATCACGACTTTGGCGGTGAGGTGATTTCAACCAGTTCCTGTGCTCAAACTGTTGGACCTGTTCGCATACTTTTGGACCAAAGATCTTGAGTTGGGCTTAGTGGCTCTTCCACTGTTCCACTTTCCATAGTGGTGAACCGAAGCCCCTCGAGCCACCCAGCACAAAGGCAATGCTTGGTATCTTTATCTCGTTCCTCTTGGCCACAAGCGCAACTGCCATTTGGCCCAAGCCTCGCTTGGTTCAGCAGCTTGACACCTTGGGAGAAGGGACACTAGTGGATGTGACATGATGTAAAGTATTGCCAAGCTTCAGCAAAGATCATGAGCGCGCGAGAACTGTACTCGCTGACGGCGGTCAGAACATCGGTTTTCGCACTTTTTCGCTCAGGAATGGCACAACGAGAATTGTTTTGAACTCGAACACATACGGCACCTTGCCTGAACTGGAGCCAATTTCAAAATGTTCGACTGTTTTCTCCCTAGCTGCACTTTGCAGGTGACCCCAGGGGCCCCGACATTTGCAACCACAACTTGCTTTTGGATTTGGAACCGCACTGTGCCAGAGTCATTGAACCTGATTCTTAAATCTCTGCGAGATTTTCATGCTGAGGATTTAAGGCTTTGACATCCACCGTTGAGCTAGAAGATGCTTTTCGGCGATACAAATCGATTTTCTTCCCCCATGCCACGGAGCCAGTGCCGGATCCTTCCAACAATGGCTTGGTGGTTGACATCTTGGCACCCAGTCTGCAGTGTTCTATGAAACCATTTCAAGTTCAACTGAGGATCCATCCCAGTTTGACTCAGTTGATCTGCTTTGTGGATGACTAAGGACCCCACAGCAGCACTGGCTTTGGGAGTCAACGAGAGTTACACCCTGGAGACTGGCCAAGCATTAGTTGCACCTCCTGGATGTTGGATGATGGTGGTTCCAGATGTTCCAATTGGGAAAGAATTGGGAAAGGATGGGGAAATCAGCCAACGGTGCCCAGTGGCCAGGATGTACACCTTGATGGCACCACGTTCATCGCGGCCAAGACAGTGTGGGGTGCACTGCATGGCTTGGAAACCATGTCGCAGCTGGTGGATTTCAACTTCGCCACAGGTGCCGCGCAAAGTTTGGTCTGGGGCCGGGCTGGAGAAAGCCCTCACGACTGATGATATTCCAGTTTTTGTGAACCACCCTGGACCCTCAAATCTGGGTTCGCTGGTGCTGTTTAAGTCTAAGTGAGCCCAGGCCAGTATTCTGTGTCCGGCGTGCCAGTTCACATCGAAGATGAGCCTCGCTTCCAGTGCCTTGTCAACAACTGTCCCAAGATCAAACCGCACATGAGCTTACACGGAAAGCCTAGTGCTCCGCAGGTTTGATTTTGATTGATTTTGCAGGTTTGTTCTTGGTGACGGCGCCCCTCGGGCGACCGGACTGTTGTCATTTTCCTCATGGTCATGTGGGGGTGTTTCGGCTCGATCTTACGTTGTAAGATCTTGTCTTGCACTTGCCGAGACATTTGATGCTACCTTGCAAGATCTTTTCTTGAACACACTCACTGGAGATTCGGGGGGTGGGGGGGTGTAATAACTTTTTTTGTTTGCGTCTTGACTGATCTTTTCTTTTGTACTTTTCGGGCGAGGTCGGAATATGTTTTGACTGCCGTGTCACGGTGAGTTTTGGTTGCCCAGACCGCTGACAAGTTTCCGAAAGACAATTCTTCCCAAAAATGACCATTTCGCTTTGGCCAAAACCACATTAAGTTCATGTGGAGGTGCGCCTGCGGTGTTTTTAGAGGCTCTCAAACATGAAGCGATTGTAAAAGATATAATAAACACTGTGTTTTGCAGGAACTGTGACTTTGAAGAACATAACTCATGATTGAAAACATGAAAGGAGCGCAGTCGCTCCACAGGCGCCGCCACCTCGTTCTTAGGGTGCACATATTTACTGCGGGTTTGTATTCAAAGAGTTCTGTGTTTTAGTAATTTTGAAGTCGTATTGTTCGGATGCATGTCTATCATATCTAGAACATGTCTTTTGCAATATGCATGTGGATCAGAACTATGGATCAAGATGTTGCAACGTCGGATTGTACACTAAGCAGGTATGTATGAGTCATTAAGTGATGATTTCAGCCATGGTTTTCCAGGGCGTTCGTTGCGAGGTAACTCTCCTTAATAAATATTCAGATACCATCAGGTAATATCATTGGCTAATTTTTCCCGTACTTTTCCCACAAAGCCATGGAACATCTCCAGATTTTTCGCACCCTAAGGCACCGTGGTCTCCTCATCGATTCAGGGCGACACTTTGAACCCGTAATCCACGTGAAGGCGCTGCTCGACTCCATGTCCTACGCCAAGATGAACGTCCTCCATTGGCACCTCACGGAGGACTGAAGAAAGCATAGCTGACATAGAATTTTTCCATTTTATATAATGGGGATATAACGATATAACGAGACATATCATAAAATATATAGTATATATGGATGTATATGGATGTTCTATGGACGTATATGGATGTCTGTTTACAAGTTCCCAACCGGCCTCGTTCTGATTCATGTTAAAACTAGTTTTTCATTGCATTTTTTCCATTTTGACTTTTCATTTTTTTAAACACCTTCATTTTGATTTCATTTTCATTTTCTGTTTTTTCTGCTCTTGGTTGGAGTTTGTGATTCCCAGTTGAAAACAAGATGAAGCCCACGAACCCGAATGCTCACACGTATGTTGAAGGTAACGATGTTAAAGTATCGATTATGCACAAAAGATTAACTACTTGCCGCTTCGGCAACCGCCGAGCTGTTGCAAAAAACTCGGAGACTGCAATGCAAACCGCCAAATGAGTATCATCTGGTTCGACCTCTGCCGCACCAAAGATAGCACTGTAGCTTGACCGCAAGCGTTCGCTCACTGCCGCTTTCTCTGCCAAAAGGCCATCCCAGCGCTGAGCCAGCGCATCCTCTGATCGCTTCTCGTCACTGTCCACCACTTGCCGCTTCGGCAACCGCCGGGCTGTTTCAAAAAATATTTTTGAATAGTAGTAATTACTTTTCATAAGCATATCGTTGCCATGTTTCGGTTTCCAAAAAAACAATGACCTCAGGACCAGTCACCTGAGACCAGTGATGAGGTGGGATTTCATGGGATTTCGCTGGCTAAGTCCCCCAAGCTGGTGCAAATCAGTGCAACAACATGCAGTAACGATGGTTTATGGTAGATATATCTATAATTTATTTGGGGGAAGCTAAACCAATTTACAACTGGTGGGGCACCTTGTTGAAATGCATTGAACTACGGAAATTACCAACTGGACGAAAAGGATGGATAGTTTAGTGTAGTTTAGTGCTTCAATCCCTTGCTTTAAATCGGAATGTTGACAAGCTAAGACACCACATAAGTGGGGTACAGTATTTGGGCAAAATGCAGGGTGACCCGGGACGAACTTTTGGATACCCCATGGTACTTTAACAGCTTGCGAACTAGAAAATCACCATGTTGAATAGAAAAATCATCTATTTCTATGGGCAATATTTTTCCTATGCTAAATTACCCGATGGGATGTAAGTTGAGTCTTCCTCTTGCATACTCTTATGGGGTACTTGGCAACACTCGATCAAAGCCATCATCCGGTGATACAGAACGTGTTCATTGCTATCTGTGAGTTTCTACATGTCTTCAGACATGAAAACTGATCAGAAGAGGCTGCATCATCAAAAGATGATGCAGTTGCAGCTATCTCTCCATTAGGCTACCCCCAAATTTGATGGTTCATCATCATTTCCACCATTAAATGTCCACGAAATGGGGAAGTATCTCCCACTGGGGTTCCTCTGAAAAATAGGCTCCCCCCAGTGATGCTAGTTGGTTTATTTAACCCCGTTAACTATACGTAGTTATAAGATGTTATCAGTATCATAAACCAGAGTTATCGGAATTATGTTCACTAACTTAGCTATTGTAAACGGGGACCCCACGTTGTAGTCATCTCCACTAAAGTGGCTGGGGTAAACCCCATTGACACAACCCTATTTTCTACGTCGCCTCCACCAGCGTAGGCACCTGAGAAACCGCTTGAGACCAGTGTTGCAGAGGAAAGATGGGGAGATGCAGTGCATTGAGGCTGTGGAAAAGCTTTGACCTAAGCAACAAACTTCTGGTGTCACTGGGACATCATTGGGATGTGGAATGCAATCAAATATGTTGGGGGCTGTAGTCCTGAAAGCTGGGGATACTCCACTCAAATGGCGATTTTTATATGGATAGTGACTATTAACCAATGGATTTAGGGGTACATTATTTTCATTACCAAAATAGGAGCGCGGACAGGTCGGGGGTGTACGAAGTAGGAAAGTGAGCTCGCAGTGTTATCCAGCATTTTCTGTCAAATTCACGCTTCACCACTAGCATGCTGACATTTTTCATAAACAGTAGCAAAGCTGATCAGGTATAAGTATCTAGACACGGTTGAACATTAGTTGAATAGAGACGGATTGATGAACACATGACCTTGGATAGGGATGGAATGGGGATACAGTTGTGATCAACTTATGGCAATTTTCAGACGGAAGATGGTGGTTAACTTGTAATGATTCTGGGAATAAAACTGATTATGTATATATACATATATATATATATTATATTGTTTTTTCTGACAAATGCATATCTGGTGGGTGGTTTGGAACATGTTTTATTTTTCCATATATTGGGAATAATACTCCCAACTGACTAATATTTTTCAGAGAGGTTGAAGCCACCAACCAGATATTGATGACAGTATGTTGCAGGTGCCTTGGTTTCAGACACATTTCGGTATGACTCCACATGATTTACCCCCGAAAGCTGCATGGTTTGATACTCAAACTGTCCGTTTTTCGTGTGGGGTCCGTTGGCACCTGATTTGAACCATGTTCCTTGGATCTGACTGGCACCCTCATTCTCCAACAATGACATGGAGGTTTCCTAAAATGGGGTACCCCATGGTACCCCTAAATCATCCATTTGAATAGGATCTTCCCTTATAAACCATCCAACTATTGGCGATACCCCATGACTATGGAAACCCACATCTCTAAACCGCTCCCGCAGGAAACGCAGAATGAGGTGCAGGCGGCTGCATAGATCAAACCATAGGGAACTAACAGAACATAGATGCGGACAACCCATCAAAAATGCTGATTTCATGGGATGTATGTAAAACTTTTGTAGATGTGGGAAACCCATGGGGAAACCTTATGAAAATGATCTACAAATGGTGGGTGTTCCACATGATGTTAGTTTACGGGGCAGTAAATCATCCCTAAACTAATCATCCCTTTACCCTCTGACGTCATCAAACGTGGCACGCTGGAAAATCCCCGATCTAAACAGAGGTTTAATTTTAAAATTCTAAATGTGAATATCATCCAACTAAACAGATTCTGATTGGTGGTTTGGAACATGAATTTTCTTTGTTCCATCATATTGGGCATGTCATCATCCCAATTGACGAAGTCCATCATTTTTCAGAGGGGTTGAAACCTCAACCACCAAGCAGATATTATCCAATCGATGATGTAGTTTATTACCATTCATACACATTAATGTAGCTTATTACCATTGGGATATTTTTTATTAATTCCCACATTTGATTGATCTGGATGGTAATTTGTTAATAACAAGAAACGGCCACTGTATCAAAGCTTCCCCGGAGATTGATCGAATTGTAGCCCAACTCGGATGTCCTCATCAAGTTATTTCTCTGCGAAAATGGTCATTTACCATTACAGCTAAGCTGGTTTAGTTCACGAACTAACTGGGATTTTAATTCACATCTATGGTAGAGTCATTAGATACTATCGTTCATGGGAGTATAAACCAACTGGAAGGCCTGACCTTGTAGCCAGGCAGGTGGCACGACAGATCCAAGCACAAAACCTGACACTCAGCCAGCACTTGGATGCGCCAGGCAAGCCATGGTTAGGCGGTTGATGATTAAGATTTCATGGGGATTTGAAGTCTCAAACTATGGAGATATTTCAGTGGATATTTCTGTGATCATTGATGGTTGGTTGATGATTAGTTTTAGGATCAAAGGGGCTACTGACAGGATGGTAAACCCAATGCCACCATCCGCAATAGAGGTTTATTGGGCATACCGGTATAAAGCCGTATTTCATCTGAATTTATGGTGAAACATGGTGGATATGTATGGGTTTGTCTGAACATGTGAAAACCTCGAAATCCATCGGCTAATCATGATTTTCACCATCCAATATGGTCATGTTATGCGTATACAGGTATATATACCCCATTTTCAGACAGACATAGATTTACAATGATTTACATCACATACTGTGTAATGTATATACCTATAATATATTTATATTATATTCAGCTAAAGATCCTAATGTGTTCTGAGTTCTGTATACAAGGGGGGCTGAAAGGGAAAGAATTGCGCCTTGCTAACCTGTTGTTTGATGAAGTTGGCTCCAACATGTTTGTTGCCCTGGAAAGTGATCCCACACGTTGTCTATTTGTGACTTTGTTACATATACTGTATATATTTAGAAGATATATATATATATGATATATATATATATGATATATGTATATATAATGTTTTTCTCACATTTTCTACTTCTTCTCTAGCAGCATCCGGGTCTGGCAAAGTGTCTTCATTCGTCAATACTTTGTCAGTACCGACGTGCGATGACGATCAAGAATAAACAAATGGGCGTTTCTGAACATTGGGGCACAGCACTCCCTTTCACCATTCGTCTCCAAAAAACTGACAAAACATTTGGTTGATGAAATAGGGTCCATACATATGGTAAATATTGATTGGCATGATAAGACTGCACGCTTGTTTTACTATTATTTTTGCTATAAATTTGTACTATTGCTCAGGAAAACCCCAATGAATCCTATCATGTACTGTAAATGCAAAGGTTCATTATATACTCTATATATATATATATTATATAAATATGTCTGTATTTATATTTATAAACCAACATGATTGATATTTTTGAATAGTAGTAATTACTTTTAATAAGCATATCGTTGCCATGTTTCGATTTCCAAAAAACAATGACCTCAGGACCAGTCACCTGAGACCAGTGATGAGGTGGGATTTCATGGGATTTCGCTGGCTAAGTCCCCCAAGCTGGTGCAAATCAGTGCAACAACATGCAGCAACGATGGTTTATGGTAGATATATCTATAATTTATTTGGGGGAAGCTAAACCAATTTACAACTGGTGGGGCACCTTGTTGAAATGCATTGAACTACGGAAATTACCAACTGGACGAAAAGGATGGATAGTTTAGTGTAGTTTAGTGCTTCAATCCCTTGCTTTAAATCGGAATGTTGACAAGCTAAGACACCACATAAGTGGGGTACAGTATTTGGGCAAAATGCAGGGTGACCCGGGACGAACTTTTGGATACCCCATGGTACTTTAACAGCTTACGAACTAGAAAATCACCATGTTGAATAGAAAAATCATCTATTTCTATGGGCAATATTTTTCCTATGCTAAATTACCCGATGGGATGTAAGTTGAGTCTTCCTCTTGCATACTCTTATGGGGTACTTGGCAACACTCGATCAAAGCCATCATCCGGTGATACAGAACGTGTTCATTGCTATCTGTGAGTTTCTACATGTCTTCAGACATGAAAACTGATCATGATCTGCCTCGCAAAATCAGACGAGGCTGCATCATCAAAAGATGATGCAGTTGCAGCTATCTCTCCATTAGGCTACCCCCAAATTTGATGGTTCATCATCATTTCCACCATTAAATGTCCACGAAATGGGGAAGTATCTCCCACTGGGGTTCCTCTGAAAAATAGGCTCCCCCCAGTGATGCTAGTTGGTTTATTTAACCCCGTTAACTATACGTAGTTATAAGATGTTATCAGTATCATAAACCAGAGTTATCGGAATTATGTTCACTAACTTAGCTATTGTAAACGGGGACCCCACGTTGTAGTCATCTCCACTAAAGTGGCTGGGGTAAACCCCATTGACACAACCCTATTCTCTACGTCGCCTCCACCAGCGTAGGCACCTGAGAAACCGCTTGAGACCAGTGTTGCAGAGGAAAGATGGGGAGATGCAGTGCATTGAGGCTGTGGAAAAGCTTTGACCTAAGCAACAAACTTCTGGTGTCACTGGGACATCATTGGGATGTGGAATGCCATCAAATATGTTGGGGGCTGTAGTCCTGAAAGCTGGGGATACTCCACTCAAATGGCGATTTTTATATGGATAGTGACTATTATCCAATGGATTTAGGGGTACATTATTTTCATTACCAAAATAGGAGCGCGGACAGGTCGGGGGTGTACAAAGTAGGAAAGTGAGCTCGCAGTGTTATCCAGCATTTTCTGTCAAATTCACGCTTCACCACTAGCATGCTGACATTTTTCATAAACAGTAGCAAAGCTGATCAGGTATAAGTATCTAGACACGGTTGAACATTAGTTGAATAGAGACGGATTGATGAACACATGACCTTGGATAGGGATGGAATGGGGATACAGTTGTGATCAACTTATGGCAATTTTCAGACGGAAGATGGTGGTTAACTTGTAATGATTTTGGGAATAAAACTGAATATATATATACACATATATATATATACACATATATATTTATTATATTGTATTTTCTGACAAATGCATATCTGGTTGGTGGTTTGGAACATGTTTTATTTTTCCATATATTGGGAATAATAATCCCAACTGACTAATATTTTTCAGAGAGGTTGAAGCCACCAACCAGATATTGATGACAGTATGTTGCAGGTGCCTTGGTTTCAGACACATTTCGGTATGACTCCACATGATTTACCCCCGAAAGCTGCATGGTTTGATACTCAAACTGTCCGTTTTTCGTGTGGGGTCCGTTGGCACCTGATTTGAACCATGTTCCTTGGATCTGACTAGCACCCTGATTTTTAACAATGACATGGAGGTTTCCTAAAATGGGGTACCCCATGGTACCCCTAAATCATCCATTTGAATAGGATCTTCCCTTATAAACCATCCAGCTATTGGCGATACCCCATGACTATGGAAACCCACATCTCTAAACCGCTCCCGCAGGAAACGCAGAATGAGGTGCAGGCAGCTGCATAGATCAAACCATAGGGAACTAACAGAACATAGATGCGGACAACCCATCAAAAATGCTGATTTCATGGGATGTATGTAAAACTTTTGTAGATGTGGAAAACCCATGTGGAAACCTTATGAAAATGATCTACAAATGGTGGGTCTTCCACATGATGTTAGTTTACGGGGCAGTAAATCATCCCTAAACTAATCATCCCTTTACCCTCTGACGTCATCAAACGTGGCACGCTGGAAAATCCCCGAACTAAACAGAGGTTTAATTTTAAAATTCTAAATGTGAGTATCATCCAACTAAACAGATTCTGATTGGTGGTTTGGAACATGAATTTTATTTGTTCCATCATATTGGGCATGTCATCATCCCAATTGACGAAGTCCATCATTTTTCAGAGGGTTTGAAACCTCAACCACCAAGCAGATATTATCCAATCGATGATGTAGTTTATTACCATTCATACACATTAATGTAGCTTATTACCATTGGGATATAGTTTTTTTTATTAATTCCCACATTTGATTGATCTGGATGGTATTTTTTTAATAACAAGAAATTGCCACTGTATCAAAGCTTCCCCGGAGATTGATCGAACTTATTTCTCTGCGAAAATGGTCATTTACCATTACAGCTAAGCTGGTTTAGTTCACGAACTAACTGGGATTTTAATTCACATCTATGGTAGAGTCATTAGATACTATCGTTCATGGGAGTATAAACCAACTGGAAGGCCTGACCTTGTAGCCAGGCAGGTGGCACGACAGAGCCAGGCACAGAACCTGACACTCAGCCAGCACTTGGATGCGCCAGGCAAGCCATGGTTAGGCGGTTGATGATTAAGATTTCATGACTCTGCCGCAGCAAAAATGCGATTGTATGCATTCAACAATTCATCGGGGAGTGATGCTTTCTGTGCAAGAAGACGATCCCAGCGTTGCGCCAGTGCATCCTCTGCTCGCTGCTCATCCGTCTCCACATTTTGCCCCGGGGTATGCGCCCATGCAAATCATAGAATTTCAAAGTCTCCTCGCAAATGCTCCGGCGCCAATCGTGCTTCAACAGATGCAGAAGCTTCGCTTTCTGCAGTTTCCAGTTACAAAGACCGACTGCTTTCGAGTTCTGCATGCTGAGAAGGCATCTGCCCATGTTCGGCCACGAACTGCTCTAGCTCAGCGCGGGCAATCTCCGCTTTCTCAGCATCCGATTTCTTCTTCGGCGGGAAGAGAGGACAATAATACGCCAGCAAACAGAGTAAGAACCACACGGGACACCGCCGCGACGTAGTCCAACCAATATGCGAAAATATTCCACCGAAAATGATATTCTCCAGCAACATGAACGTGTAGCCTATGTTGGCCCATCTTGGGACTATGTTGGGCGTTCCTGAGGTCAATGTTGGGCCATCTTGGCTCTGTGTTGGCCTATCTTGGGGCCATCTTGGGACTATGTTGGTGTTGGGTCGTCTTGGGCGTATGTTGGCCCATCTTGGGACTATGTTGGGCGTTCCTGGGTTCTATGTCTGTGTTGGCCTATCTTGGGGCTATGTTGCGCCGTCTTGGGACTATGTAGAACGAAGAAACGACATCAAAGTGCAAAAGTTGCATGAAAACATGTTTCCAAGCCAGTTTTTCACGGTATTTGCAGTGTTTTTTTACACATAGCACGTTTTAGGCCCGCCTCCCTCGAAACAACAAAAACGACAAAATTTGGCTCCCGCGCAGGTAAAACGCACTTTTTGCAGCAACTTGACTCAGTGTTTTTTGCACCTCCTCAACACCCATTTGGAACCCCAAAATCTGCAAATCTGTACCGCCCCCCCCCCACACCCCCCCCTTTTCACCTACCGGCAAACTTCATTTTTTTCCATTCTGGAAATCTAATCCGACATGAAAGTTCTTTCTTTTCAGCTCGCAAATCTGGAGAAAATTTAGAAACAATGTTTTTCAATTTCGCAAATCTGGACGAAATTGACAGCTCATTATTTTCCTTTGCGTTTTCGTACTTTATTTGAACTCTAGCAATCTGGTTGAATGATGTTAGATCTGGAAATGTCACTTTTTAAGATACCAGGTTCAAAACAACAACTTTTCAAAATGATAACCAAACAACATCAAACAACGAATAAACAACGGCAGAAAAATGAAAACAACATGACTTTCAGAATGAAACAAAAACATTAAGACAATGAACAACCTGTTTTAGTATAAATCAGATCCAGGCCGCCGTTGGAACTTGTAAATGTATATGGGTGTATATGGATGTCTATGGGGATGTAATGAAGATATAATGGTGATTTATTGCATTTGTTGATTACTAGCTGGGAAATCCTCGAACTCAATGTGCATTTAAATGGCCAAATGATCAAACTAAATGGTGGGTTTTCCACTGCCATGTTTGATTTTGATTATATACTCGAGGGTAATGGGGACATAGTGTTGTCACCAATGTGGGAAAATATATAGTATGTTAGAATTAGATGGCAAACTGAAACTGTTTATGAATCCCCACAATTAATGGGGACAATATGCGCACATAGTTTTGGGATTGTTTTTGGGGTGTAATGTAGTGATGAAATACAACATCAATGGGGATATACTTGTCAATGATATTAGGAGCATAGTTATCAACCTCCAAAGTGGATGCTTTGAGACAGTACTCGAGACACACTTCTGATCAATTTAGCGTGTCAGTTTTGGAGTTTTTTTTTTTTTTTTTTAATACTGTACAGGGTACTGTACCCGAAATCCAGTGGTTTAGACAATTGTCTTGCCCATTGAACACGACAACGCACGTTGTTGTAAACCCAATGCCACACCATACACCAATGACCCAATGACTTGCCCCTATGGGTTAAGAACCATATCCAAGAAACGATCAACAAAGGGGTTTATGCTTTTGGTTTCACCACATTATATTGTAACCATGGAGGCAACCATCTTTCCTCATGATTGTAACTTGGGGGGTATATTTTTTTTGATCCAGCAAGGGTGCATCTGTGCCCATGAGGGGATTAAGTATTACAGGGCTAGAGAATAGGGCCTTGAATAGGAAAAAAAATACTAGAAACAGGGAATTAAATAGACTGGCATTTTCCAGCAGATTTTAGTGAGTCAACGCTGCGAGGACCAGTCCTTCCCCATTGCAAGCCGAGTTCATCCAGAGCTGGCGGCCAAAGGTGCCTACAACGACTTTGAACAGTGAAACCCTGAGGGTACTGCGTTGAATGCAGGGGCTGGAATCCTCAGTGGTTTGCTGAGTTTCATGTTGAGCTTGAAGCATCAGCTGCATTTTGGGAGATGATATTCCCATGGTGATCTGTTTTCATCAACACACACACAGACACACAGGTACACCTGGCAAGACATCGTCGATGTGGTGAAGAGCCTTGGTTCAAGACCTGGATGTTCCCTATGTTTGATGGTTTCCATATGTTTCCATCACTTTTACATCTTTTACTTGGAGCCTTTCATTTCCCAATTTCTTTTGCTGAAACTCCCACACCAGGCATGCACGGCTGCGCGGAATCCGTGTGATTCCGGAGTTCGACATGCCGGGACACACTTCAGCCTGGAGGACGCCATATGCGGTACCCCGGGACCCCGGACTGGATGGTTTCATGAAGATGACTGATGACATCTGATGACCAATCTTGTGGGTCCATTGTGACAATGGGCGATGTATAGAGAGTCAATGATTTCTTTGCCTGATCAGTGAACAACTGTACTTGCAACTGATTGGAACAGAGCCTGCTTTTGCCGTCCCTTTGTTTGAACAGATATCATTGGCCTTGTGCTCGCAGCGGTGCTGCGTCAGTCATGCAGGAAATCGCATCCTGAAATTTTTGCTGAAGGCGGGTGATTGACTGAGTGTTGGAGACAGGGATTAGAATATGGAAGGACACTGAAGTCCTATAATTCAACACAATTCATTGTTTTCTCTTTTGCACTTAACTCCCAGCTGCTGACAAAGGACACAAATAACCTGAATAACCATGGGGTCAGCTGCCAGGATGCTTGACGGAGTCTTCTCGAGGCGCTTTTGACCCTGCAAAGAATGAGACCTTCGACTTCCTCCAGGCCTTGCAGACATTCAAGTCGACAGGGTGTAGAAATGGATGGTTCAATGGTTGATTCTCATGCCAAAATTGAGCTGGTCAACAGCCTGTTGGGGTTGTTGGGGTTCACAGGAAAGACGAGTTTTCAAAACTTACACTGTTGCGCCTGTTCCCTCCTTTTTTTCAGGCGAAGGCTTCCCGACAACTGGCTGGTGGTTTCTACCTCATGAACATTTTAGATCCCAAGAAACGGTACGAGGAATTCCAAGATCAGCTCAAGTCCTTACGAGCAAATACGAGCAATGATCAGCTCCAGCAAGGCCACCTTGAAAGACTGGGCCGAGATCTTCCCAGATCTCTTTCTGCACCTGGGCAGCGATGAAGTGCCCAGCGGCTGCTGGAACAACAGCAAGGATTTGGCATGGATGAGCCCTGGCAGCGGCAGAGAAGTTGGATGTTTGAGGTTTTGTGGATGAAGTCTGCGAGATAATTATGATGATAAGACCACAAGATACCAAGTAAATTAAGCTTTGGTTCCTCTGTGTACCAGACGAGTCAACGTGGTTCAAGAGTCACAGCTGAAGGAAGACAATGGGCTTCGCCAACACCAGTGAAGTCGTCGCCTTAATTTGCATCAGAAGTACGCGGCAGGTGGCACTGCTGCATTGCTGTTTGGATGATTATGATGTATATGGATGTATATGGTGCATATGATGCATGTCAACAGCGCTGGAAGTCAGGTTTTCAACTACTTTGTGAATCGCATGGCTGCAATCAGCACCAAGTTGGGACGGCAAACAATTTTTTGGGATGAGCCTTGGACAAGAAATGAGACGGGCACCTCAAGCCTCATCAAGCCTCAAGTCTGAACCATGAAAAACATCGGCTTGCGGGTCTGAGGAGGCGTTCTTGTTTGCGAAGCCGCCTCAGGCCAGATCGAAGTTCTAGGGTCCTGGTACTCGCTCCTACTCTTAGTATCTCTTAGCTGGAAAGTTTGGTGCGCTTATATCATGGGACTTTAAATTGGCAGATCATTGGCCAGACAGGACGCAGTGATCCAGAACTGGCATGATGCCTCCCTTATGCAGAAGATCGTCGATGCTGGTGGCTCCGTTGAAGTTGCGTCAACATGTCTTCAAAATGGGCTGACAGACACACGAGACAAATGTGTGGATGAGGGGTGACTTTTGCATGGGACATGGAAAGATATGCCAAGTATGGATGTTTGTCATCCCAAGGTTACAGAGCCATTTTCTCGTCGAATGGTGGCTACACACATGGCACCTCGGTGGCATAGCTGCAACATGGAACTGCTGGAAGTGATGATGTCCGAGGATGGTATCTTGATGGCTTAGCAGCAACGTGGGACAACATGTATGTCGCTTGGCCGCCAAGGGAGATCTGGCTCGTCTTCAAGACCAGCGTCACTCCCTTTTTTTGAAAGCTGTTTCATAAAGCTGGCTTTTTTGGAGATGTATGCTTTATAGATCTTTATAGAATCTCGGCTTTCATGCTGATTTTAAGGGCCCCTCAGGTTACAGGCCCCATTTCCTCACTTCTGCCATGATGGATTGGTTTCATTTGACTGACATTCGGTGACAGGTGCTGGAACCCTTGACCAACATCAGCGCGGACAAAGAGAAGCTGGTGCTGGGAGGTGAGGGCTGCATGTGGGGCGAAGGCGTTGAATCCTGACTGAGAGCATCAGAGGGGTGGTGCAACATGGTGCAACGGGTATGAGGCGATGATTTAAAATTTAGTGTATAGCACGCTGAATCGCTTAGGCAGTTCCCCCCATTCAAATGAGATTTCTAGATACTTGAGAACATAATCTCTCTCTCTCTCTCTACTTGTATGTTGTCAATTTACATTCACCCTACACACCACAGTGCCCACTCGTGCGCCCCTTTTTGGAAATTCCCAAGAGAATGCGAACAAGCCTTTGCTGCCACCCACGGTCAGGGCAAAGGTAGGACTTTTGTTTGGTCAGAAAAATAATGGTGGTATAGGCATCAATGATTGGATGCTACGACACTCAGATACTTGAACTGTTTAAGAAGATCTGATTTGAACGTGACTGTGCCAGATCGTCTGCAACAACGTTCGACATCATGCTGCAAATGGAACACATCCACTAAAGTCTGGAATGATGAACTGAACATTTAACTATCGAAACGATCCAAACAATGTTGCAGTGCCAGCGCAAGCTGCCCTCAGAGTTTGAACCGAGATTTACAGTCCACATGGGACAAGATGTCCCATGATGTCCCCATCTTCGGATGGCAACACTCCATGGGTTCCTATCAAAAGTTCCTCAATTTTGAGCCCAGCAAAATCAGCTTCAAAGTTCGAAACCAAAATCATCAAAATTCAAACAGCCAATTCTTGTTGGATTCCTGATCCGAACTGGATTCCGAACTGGATTCCGAACTGTCTATCCGAGGATCCATCAGATTTGGAATTCACCGTGTGGCCACGCCTGGCTGCCATCGCGGAGCGCCTGTGGAGTGACCGCAGCGTGAATTCCACGGTGGAGGCGCAACCCAGGCTGGAGATCTTCAGGTGCGCTTGCGCGGTAGCATGGTCTGAGAGAAAAACATAGAAACACCGGGGTACATATGAAATCATGTGAAACATCTATGAACATATGGGAACTGATATAAAACTGTTTGAATTGGAAGGGGATTTGGAAGAGAACATTGGACATGGAGACGTTGAAGTTGACCATACTTGCCCCATTTTTGCACTCATCTGGTTTCAACACGTTTCAACACGTTTCAAGAATTTGTAGCGCAGGTGCCAACTACTGGCCAGAGGCGTCCACAGTGGTGTGGTGGGGGGCAACGGTCGTTCACCACCTCCTGGCCCCGGGTCATGCACCCAGCCTGGCAAGACGGAGGCCGAAGGGCCGAAGGGATGTCGCCATGTGCCCATTTTTGGGCCACCATATCTATCCTTATAAAATAGATCCTTATAGAACTGTACCTTGTAGAACCAGAATGAAGACTATATCATACTGTATCATCATTTAAATTACGTATTTATATTCTCACACATACTGTATCTATGTTCTATAACTACTAGTATAACCATAAAGCTTGTCAGCTCACTTCTTTGCTTTTTGATGTATGTGATCCCATGGTGCGGAACTCGCAGTGAAGTGCTCTTCCGTAGCGCTGTTTTTGCGCATTTTGTCCCTCAAGCACTGCTTCATTAAAGTCAGACATGTGGACTTGCGATGAAATGCCGACCTTTCATGCCCAACGGGATTGAACTATATTGAAACGTACCACAAAAAGATGTCCAAACCGAGAGTCGCTCCTGGTGAGGAGCAGCTCTTCGTGTAAGATTGAAGCATGACACGGCGACAAGGACAGAAATGGTCAGGAAGTGTCTGGAAACTATTAAGATTGGACACATAGGTGATGTCAAGATAAGTCGCTTGACACCAATCTGGGTTCTTCACAGGTCCATTTCGACAGATTCACACAATTCTTTTTTTGTCGGTGCTGACAGGAGACTGGATTGCAGCCCATGTCGCATTTGATGTTATCGCCATCGCTGAAAAAGACTTGCCGCGTTGGTTGAAACAAGGAACAGGTCAAGATCACAGGTCATTGCAAACAGGCCATGTCGAAATGGAACATGGCTTGAGGGGCGCAAGCAAGGAATTGAGTATATATAGTAGGAGATATAGCCATCAGAGACTGAGAGAGACTGCGAATGAACAATGATCATGCACAATAGTGAAATATGTATCAATATTAATATGTCATATACTTCTGGAATCCTGGAAAAACCAGCAAGTTCGAGAGGCAGTGGCTGCGGTTGTTCATTGGAAAGTAGACTTCCATCTAAAGCTATTATATCTACGGCTGACATGAGTCCTCATTCAGCAATCACTAGTAGTTCTTTGCCAGTGTGCAACAATGTGTGGACTGTGAGCCAAGCGGAGGCCTCCACAAGCCACGGGAAACGTGGAGGCATTTGGTTGTTGGGAACGGCGCAGTTGATCCCAGGCTGTAGATGGCTGTAGATGGCTGAACCAGGCTGCAGGATTCCAAACCCTTGGGGCCAACCTTGGGGAGACGAGCTTTGGCAGGATGAGTTTTTCCGACTGACCGGAATAAGGCACGTCTACGACTTCGGGGAGTTGAGAGAATGGGACGGTTGAGAGAATGGATAGGTACCATAAACGCAATGGGCCTGCTGGTTTAGACGCCTTCCTGGCCTCGCTTGGCAACTGCTGCGGTGCCATGGAGGAAGTTCCTATATTTGATCGTATTTTCTTTCTGATTAGCACATACCAGAAGGACATCCATCGGCCAGCGGAGATCGCAACTTAGACCGTTCCGAGGAATCCAACATGAGAAACAAGACCTTTTCCTGTCCATTACCCACTCCAATTTTTATAGTAACTATATATATATATATATATATAGAGCAGTTTACATCTAGAAAACTGGGTTCCCCATAAACTGGCTATTATATGTATATATATATATAAATACAGTATATATATATATATATCTCATATGTATTATATATGTATATATATTATATATAATATTCTCTCATTATACAAACAGGTTGTCCCTTGATGTCGATGCAACCATCAGGCCTGAGCCAGTGGTTGTGCCCAAGCGGGAGAAGCCGCGTGCTGTGCCTGGGCGATGCATTTGTGGATGGTGCCATCTTCCAACAGCTTCATTATCAATTGTAGATGATTATTTATACGTAGATTATAGAATCTTGAATTATAGATTATAATCGTTTATAATCTATATCTGGTTTCCTTTGACTAGTGATGGTGAAGCGTTGACCATCCTTCTACAGCATTTTTAAGCGACGGACACGCGAAACAGAGATCATGGATCATGACGGTCATGCCTTTCCCCATGGGATTTTCGGCCGTGGCGACACTTTCGCCATCTTTCGCCACTGTCACTCAAGCCTTGAACCCTGAGGTGGAGCCCAAGCCCAAGGCCAGCTTCAAGGAACGCCCCAGCCTCAGTAGCCTCAGTAGCCTCAGCAGCCTCAGCTGCTGCCCATGCCGTGGCTGCCTTGGGTCAGGGGTGGTGAAGGACCTCCTGGATAGGCCAACAGCTGAGTTCTTCACTTCCGTGTGGCTGTGATGGTCTGGTTGGATTCCACTTGACTTGTGTCTGTAGCATTGAGCCAAGAAAATGACTCAGAGTCATCATTTCCATTTTGGAAGCTCTCAGTGACTCAGATTCCACTCAGCAACAAGCCATGGCTTCAACCTTGTAGCAGCATTTTCTTTTTACAGCAAATTCAAATGATGTTTGTTACACAGGAGAAGAAAACATCTTGACAAATCCAGAAATATCTTGGATTGGAAAATCATGCCATGGTGAAGCGCCGTAAGACTGCGGCCAAAGAGCCGCAAGGCAGCGTGGAGGTCCGGATTTAAAGCCCTTGCCGGTTTGCTGAATCTGCGGCGAAAGATATCGCCAGTAGCCTGCTCTTCAACATTTTTTTATGGGAGAAAAATGCAGTTTATGCAAGCGTGGGTTGCAGCATGATGTGAGAATTGGATGGAACTTCGTTTGCCGGACACATACATGCAGAAGACTATGACTTCAACCACGTAGTTGTCAGCGTCTTCTCCGGGTGAAATTGGACCCAATGTAGAACTTGGAGGCATTGCGGCATTTCCCTTCACTGCATGTTCTTCCCTCAGTCCGGCCGATCACGTGACGCAGGAATCTACACCAGGCGAAGCCACAAAGAGTGCAACCGAGGCCGCAGGCCGCTGTCTCCAAATGTCTCCAACTTTGTTGGGTGTTGCTAGGTTGAGTTGCTGATAAATCATGGCAGAATTGCAGAGTTTGGAATCCCGGAAGCCACAGGGAAAGCCAAGAAGAAAACGAAAAATAGACTCAAGCTGTCAATGAAGGCAAGACTGTTGCAGATGCTTGTGGCTGAACATCTTGTCATTTTGCGTGGCGTAATCTCAAACCACATTTATATATTTTAGGAATGTGGATGTGCCCAGAGCCAACATTTACTGTCCTTGATGATTTGCTTACATACCGTGGCTTCTTAATACGAAAACAGAGCATTTCAGAGGCAAAGACGGCAAAGACAAAGCCAAAACAGGAGGCTGGGATTGGACCTGAGAATTTATGAGGGTAACTTTGGCTTATGAACTTATGACATCTTATGACCATGCATAAGGAGGACACTTTGAATTTCATATGACAAGCCTAGCATGGCCTAGCAGTGACCTTTGCCCTTTCGGATGAGCTTTGACAGGCGCCAGCCTTTTGTAAAGAGGTGATGGAGGTTCTGAAACAGCTTTCAGATCCCCAGTCCAGAGGTGGGCCCGCCACAGTTTCATCTCATTTTCATTCCCTAAGACTATTTTGTTCCTTGACTAAGACTGACTAAGATTCAAGCTGCAGATCTTGAAGCATCTTGAGACTTGAGACACCTTGAGGTCAGTCTGTCCGATTCTGTCCGCTAGGAACATTGTCGGATCGCCTCAATCCATCACATCCATGCTTTGACAAGAAGCTCAAGGCTGGCTGGAAAGGCTTCTCCAAGAAGGATTCTAGGCTGATGAAGCGGCTAGATGGGCCAAAGGTGGGGTACGAATCAACCCACAATTGGTCATTTTTAGATATTTTTAGTATTCTTTAGTACTATAAACCATCTGTTCCATGCCCGGGTGATTATCCTGAAACATCCTGACGGTTTGGTGGTTCATCATCTCTCTCAGCCTCAGGAGCGAGCCGCCATCGTAGAGTGCGACCAGAAAAAGATGAACGCATCAGCCTCGGGGTAGTGGTCAGACTGGTTTAGCGACTTTAAACTCTTTTGACTTCGGGTCTTCATGGCATCATTTCAACTCTGATGCCCACATTGACATGGCTTTTTGCTGGGCTACGCTTGAGTTGGTTGCTCTCCGGCATTTTCAAGCTGTAAGGCAAGCGTCAGCGCAGTGGTATCTATCGAGCATCCTTTTGATGCCAACGATGACGATCACTGCGAGACCGCACCGGAAGCTTACCGGGATGTTGCTCCTATCTTACATCACATTGCTGCCTGGCAGATAGCGGCTTGTGCACGGGGACGTGGTTATGAGCGGGTGTAAAAGTCAGTATAAAACAGAAGGCTTCGGAGCAACGGAGGACGATTAGACCCATGCCCAACAGATTTATGCTAGCCGTTACTTCAATGACTGCTCAATGGCGCTTCACCACTGGAAAGAAGCCGAGAGAAAGTTGTTTTGATCACTTTTTGTTGCGGCTATAACCCAAATCCATCCAGATTCACTGGTTCATCAAACTCCCCATGTATGCTCCATTTAATGGCCATAAACTGGATGTACCTCCGCAATTTTTGGGTCCAGAACGGTGCGACCGTTGTGGGCTAAGCGGAAAAAAAACCATCCGGAGCCATGGACAAACAGTACGAGAAGGTCGCTGAGGCGGCCATGGCAGACCTTGAGGGCGGCATGTGTTGGCCGGTGGAGTGGTTCAAGGAAGACCTGTTGGAGCCTCAGGAGATGTGGGGAGATGTGGATGGAACATGGATATTGGAAAACAGAATCTGTTAAAGGGAGGATTTCCACCATGTTTCCATTTATTTTTTGCATATTTTCACCATCAAACCGGTCTGTAAACGCAGTTGTTCGACTTTGTGAAGGAGAACATCTGAGGCCAACAGAAAGCAAAGATGGTTCTGCAATGGACATGCTTGCAGTGAGCTTAGTGGAAAAGTGACAGTGTTGATTGTTGGCCTTTCTTTGCATGTCTTCCAATGTCTACCCGGGTTGTCATCGGACTAGTGAGCGAGTAGGTTTTGACAGTTACTTGAGTAATTGATTTGACCATGACGCGTGGGGAAGTTGTCGTTTCTGAGATCGAGAAGACCATCAATCGGTCATATCACGTGCCCAAGATGATGGATCCCTACGTCAAGTCGCAGTCGCAGGTGCGCTCTGCAGGAAACACTTCAAAGGATTTCAACTCCGTTCATACCGCAGAACCTAGGGTCAACAGTCTGAAGTCAAGGTTTCCCCATCCCATGACCTTTATATTTTGGAACTCGAATTTGCTGGGCCAGGACGTTCTTGAGATTCCAAAGCCAGATACGCCTGCGAAGATGAATATCCTAGCATTCTCTGACAGCATGGGCTACTGCAAGAACTTGTTCGCAAACGTTCCGGAAGGAAGAATTAGCATGAAAAAGGTAGTGGAGAACTACCACACTCTCACACAAGAGGATGTGAAGAGATTGGTCACAGAACCCAAAAAGGGTTGGGACATGGTAATCTTTGCCGTTGGCTGCGATCCACCTAGAAGCAACAGTATCGATGATGTCATCGAGCAGAACACCGTGATCTCCAGACTGTGCCTTGTCAGCTATTTTGGAGCACCAGCCAAAAGCCTCAAGCAGTTGCTACCTCTATCGGATGAGTTTGGACGATGTTTAATATGTGTTTTTTTTTAGGGATTCAAATTGGCAACCTTCAAAATTAGATGGTCAATACTGACATTGACCAAACTCTAGGGGTCCCCACTCCCTCAAAATTTGGTCCCTAGTCCATGTCGACTCCACCAACACGACGTCAAAGGTACTTTTGGTTGGCCTATGAAATTCAGAGATCTGAGAATGCTCGAAAGATTTTCTGCCTCGTCCGTGGACTGTTCCACGAGGACACCAAGACCCATATGAAGGCACACAGAATGGGTCTTCAGTGTTAGAGGGTCGTAGGTTGATGGTCATTGCATACCGAAAAAAACGAAGTAATGTGGATGATGGAGGCTAGCTTCTCCAAAATGTGGCCTGGAAATCCCCTTGCAGGCTGGTCTGGGCATCACAGTTTGTGGCACCTTGTTCGGCATGACCAACACGCTGCGACAGGCCAGGATTTGACTGTTGATCACAGTCTGGGAAATAAACAACAAACAAAGAAAGTTCAAGGTGACCGTTTTGGACCTTCTATATGCACCCATGGATTCACGAAAAAGGCCAGTTTTTTGGCGTCATTTTTTCCCAGTTTTTTGAGAAGTATTTGTGGTCATGGCTGTTGGAACACATTTTGAGGAGCTGGAAGGTGTCGACCTGCACTTCTGTGACACAGAGTGGCTTCGGCACAGATTCATCTCTATGGACACAGCGTTCTTCACTTGGGGAAGTGCTGGGTAGACAGTCGGACATTGAGTCCATGTGACTAACCAATGATTGAATATGATTAACTGATGACATAGTGAAAGGGGATCGGACGTGCTGTGCTTCCGAGGTACTTCCTGCATGAGGAGAGTCCTTTGTGGGTTCAAATTGCCGCGGAAGCATTTCGGGACTCCACCTTCGGAATGATCGATGTGCGTATCCTCGAATCTGGCAGGCTGGTTGTGGGCGGTAAGGAGGGATTGTTCTGCTTTCCATGCGAATTACTCTTGCGCTCTGTAATGCAGCTTGAAGTCAGAGGCATGCTTCCCCAGTTTGCCTGAAGTTTGATGTCTTTAGGGTATCAATGCAGGTATGTGCAGAAGCGCATCTCCTCCAAGTTGTATCAGGCTGCCAACAAGGACCAATCATGATTTGTCACAAATCTGGGTCAACATTTCATGATCATTTGTGACTCATGCTGGTCGAAGAATGTCAGACTCTCTGTGGTTGAGGTTTCTAGCATATATCCGCGCCAGGAGTTTCCCATGCCAGACAAGGGCGTCATTTGTATTTCCGGAGGAAACGGAGCCCTGGGTTTGGTCATGGGCAACTGGCTCTTGGACAAGGCGCGTTACTTCCAGCCATCCACGTGGCACATGACACAGTGATGCAGGGTTTTGTCCAGCGCAGTTGTCCACTGCCGCTAGGCTGCGGAGCAAGGCAAATCAGGCTTCTCCATCCAATTCCTCTCCAGATCCATGAAGATCTCAGCATTTTGGATGCATTTTGTAGTGCTTTTTGTCCCAGCCGTTGGCTTTTGCTGGACTGAGGGGTTTCAGGGGCTGGAAAGGTGGAGGAGGGATCTGTATCTTTTGGAGATCTGAGGATATGAATATGCCTTTGTGGAAGGACATTGAGGCCAAGGCTGCTAAACTTGGCGTCACTGTGGAGCAAGGACTGCTGCCATGGTTGTTGAAGTTTGGGGATCAACATGCTGACAAACTAGTTTCGCAACGTTTTGCATGTTCCTTGGGTGTTCCTCTTATATGGCATTGGGAAAAAACTGGATCGGACAACAGGTCCATTGATACTCGTATAGTTTGGACCTGTTTGGACCTGGACGTGCTGCGGTTACGTCACAGCAGCTCCAGGAAAGATGGACATGTCCTCCATGGAGGGCTGCTGCAAATTCATTGAGAAGCTGAATGGAGAGCTGTATGGCTTCATCCACTCTGCTGGTGTCTTGCAAGACTCCATGCTGATGAACCTCACCTGGGAGAAATTTGAGACAGTCTTCCAGTCCCTCGGCAACCGGGTGTCACCGTGCCAAACTTCTGGTGGCAATCAGACCTCTTTAAGATGTTTCCCAGTATTTAAAATATTAACAGTATTTTATTCACCAATATCACCAATATCACCATCCCAGTCTCCAGATGTCTCCAGATGTCTCCAGATGTCTCCAGATGTCTCCAGATGTCTCCAGATGTCTCCAGTGCTTCATGGATTGCTCAGGTCGAAGCATCATGCAGCGCTTTTCCTGCACTATGCTCTGGAGCAAAACCCGCAGAAGGACTTCCGATTCATGTGGAATTTCTCTTCGACCTCCGTGTATGGCAACATGGGTCAGCTGAATTACTCTGGATCCAACTCCTTTCTGGATGTGCTGACACGCCATCGCAAGGTACCTCAAACTCGGATGCGTTTACAGGGTTGGAGACTTCCATGATCTTCCATGTCTATCCATTTGTTTATCCATTTGTTCATTGCTGCAGCCATGTCTCGTGCTTCATCTTTGCATGCAAACCAAAAGTTTGAGGATTTCTTTTGTAGAGTGAGCTGCCATGGACAGCGAACATGGACGGTTAATTGGAAAATGTATATATTTGCGAATTTGTGTAGTATGTGTAGTACTTCACCACCTTCAGTCGCCAGTGAGCAGGCGATTGAACGCATGAAGGTTGGTCAGTTGGATGTGCTGAGGCGAAGGGAAGACCATCCCTGGCAATTCAATGGGGTGCCTGGGGTGATGTTGGCATGGCCGCGACCATGACGGATGCCATGCGATTGAGGAGAGGGATCTTCCAATTTCCATGGGCCCATGGGCTGGTCAAACTGGACTGAGGGGTCCACAGGTATAGCTCCTTAGGGTGCCCAAGTTTGACCTAAAGCCAACTGGAATGCATGTTCTCTGATTGGTAGGATGTGCTTTTGGCACTAGCTATCATCAGCTAGTCGCAGTTTTAGTATGTTTTAGTATATCGTATTTGCAGCGCCTTGATGCACGAGGACAATGAACTCGCCCATGCCATACTTTTCCAACAAGGAAGGTCTGTGGCCAGACTGCACAGATTCTGCGGGGATCTCTAGGTGAGCTTGTCACAGGGAAGTGTGGAGTGTTTGATGACACTTTCAGCATAAGGGACACGGAAAGATTTGCCACCTTTTTTCTACTTCATCTATTGACCCCATGAAATGCTCCTGAGATTTCCCAAGAAACCATGGCCTGCCCCTCCTGAGGTATGGCTTGGAGTGTGGTCTGCAGACTGGCTTGGCGTATTTCAGCGTCTTCAAGTTCAACCCGCCAGTGATGATGGGCTCAGTGCAGTATGCCGATGCAGTGCCGGCCTGCTTCCACAGGAACCACTACAGCGAGGCAGGGGAACCACAGTGTGTCTGGGATGGCCTTCAGATGATAGCTGTAAATCAAACAGCTTCTAGCCACTTATCAAAATGCATATGAAAGTCTTGGTGGTAGCTGATATTTTTTAAACTCCCTTCCAGAAAAAAAATGGAAAGCCCTTGGTCGCCTGGGTCATTGATTTATCCATGCCGGACGTGCCACAGATGCAGGTTTGTCCGACACCTCCTGCTCCCACCCTGGAGCGAAAGCACTACTACACCATCTACAGGCGGCAATTTGTAGCTTGTGAGGGATGCTGCAACTATGTGTTAATGCGACATGAAAGGCAATATGAGACCACTGAGACCACTTTTCATTCACTTTTTTGTTAAAGCCGCTCTGGCATTGCGTTTCTCCATGTCTATGTTCCTTTTTGGGGGGTCTGTTGCAAAGAATCGACTTCAGAGATTCTCATCACATCCTTCATTTTGAATGCAGCAAATGTTTTATTTGCTACGGTCAGATACCAGTAGCATTCGAAACCTGATGACAATCCTGAACAAAGACATCCCGGATTTGTTGGATTGCAGGATGTCCAAGGGTCCTCAGATGCTGGATCCAAAAGCCACGCCTTTGGTGTACAATGCCTACGTCAAGGACACTCATTTTCTGAGTTTCAACGGCTGTCATTGTACTGGTACTTGACTCTGAATCATGACTCATACCGTTTTCACTTGCTTTAAGTATGTTTAAGTGCAGTGCAGAAATAGCTGAGATGAGATATGCTTTGTGGACCGATGCCAACTTGCAGCATGATTGTGATCCGGCAGGATGCAGCAGCAAAGTACGAGGAGGAGTGGGGTGACGATTTTCGAAAGTGGTAGAGATACATTTCGGCAGCGCAGAGGTGAGTGGCTTCCAATCGCAGAAAAAAGCAGTGCAGAAGGGGGATGGCCGGTTGGAGAGTTGGTATATCCTGTGATCCATTGGGGACTCTGGAACTCACAGAGGGGATATCTTCCGAAAACAGAAGTAGCAACAACTGCGCTCATTTTTGGTCCGAGGCGACGCTGCTGAGTGTCTTGGAAAGGCAACAGGAGTCTGAGAGCTGTTTTTTTCAATGGCCAGTGGACATCAAGTCATAGGGATGATATAGCCCGCAGACGATCATGAATGGCTGCATGAACCATCAATGGGATGATTTTGAAGCCATTGGTCCATGGGCAGTGCCAGGGGTCCATGCCCAGGTAAGGCTCCCAAAAAGCTGCGAATCTACGATCCCTTTTACTGTGCGGGAAGTGTGGTGAAACACCTCACGGAGTTGGGCTTCCCCCAAGTCTACAACAAGTGCGAGGATTGCGGTAGTCAGATTGGGATGGCACCACCTGCGACGAGTATAGAGTATATCAAATTACATGAACGGCCATAAATATGAATAAATCATAAAAGTACCTAAATACACAATATGTATACACAGAATGATACAATATATATATATAGTTTAATATTATATTATATATATATACATATTATACACATGTACTTATACATATGACATAGCAAGGTCCATACTCCATACCAGACCCATTCGCCCATCCTTCGTTCAACGTAAATCAGAGCCAGGATTTCTATGATGTTGTCAGAGATGGCCGTGTCCAAACCTTGGTTCGATGGGCGTCTGAGATAAACGGTGCATTTCAATTGGACAAATCAAGAAATATTCACATGATTAGAAAAAGGCCTGGTTGATTGGTGGTTAATGCAGGGACTTACTGCATAATATCTAACTTATTGGGGATGATGATAACCCATAGTCACCTATTCAGGGCAGTGACTTTGTGAAGTGACTGAAGTGCTTCTCATGGTTTGTCGGTTTGCTGACCCTAAGGTGCCTGAGCACGATGTGCTGCTGACAAATCCACCGTACAGTGGTGACCATGTTGAGCAACTCCTGCGTTTCTGCCGCAACTTGTTGCTGACAGTCCAAGCTTGCAGATAGCCACAAACAGAGGAAGTTAATATCACCATAGATCAAATACATGTCGAAGGGCAATTCGGAACCTCAGGTCCAGGTGAAATGCTGAGGTTGATGATTTTCTGAGATTCACTTAGATGTCCTTAAAGCGGTTCCAAAGATGACACACACACACACAACAACCACAACAACAACAACAACAACAACATCAACAACATCAACATCATGTATATATATATGTAACATACTGATTGATTGATTGATTGATTGGTTGGTTGATTGATTGATTGATTGATTGGTTGATTGATTGACTGACTGACTGATTTGATTTGTTTTGATTTGATTTGATTTGATGGACAATATAAGCACAGCTCCCTCTTTAGTCGATCTGTTGCCTCCGACAGCAGGACAATACACTGTAGATTTCTCCCCAGTCCCAGCAGTGTAAGAACAGTGGATACAGTGGCTGAACCATACTCCAAGTTCTATAGAGAAAGTGAGGCTCCAATGGGAAGCCTTTCCTCTTACTGATGCCCAACTATTTCTGCGCAAAGGATTTCTACGAGGTCAGAGCTTTGAACTTGCGGGATGATTGGGAGAGGGAAACGGACATGGGGTGAGCATTCCGGAATAGTTCTGACATTTCCAGGGACTGCGATCTACTTATCCGTATCCACTCGACATTTTGGAGGTTCACAGATTATTGAAAAGTCATTTGCCGTGCTAAAACTGGGCTGCAAACTCTGGCTGTCTCATTCCTCCGCTGGCGTGCAGGAGGCATTGGGTGGAGCCGCAATGGCAAAGAAGGTCCTGTATCTTTGCCCGCGTTGCTTGATGGAGTCCGCAGTATGCAATAGTCTGTAAGACAAGATATTGCCAGACAACTAGTATCATGTAGTAACTAGTTAGACTAGTCAGAGTGTCCACAGTCAATGAAAAGTACCAGAACTGCAATTACTTCATGTCTTGTACCTGTACGCTAAGAGAGTGGAGCCGCATTCAGCCTACCATGTAGTGGCACTTGAGAAGTCTGCCAAGCGGATCTGAGGGAAGCGATACTTCTACTGGACGCCTAAAGGTTTGCGCAAACGTGGCAAGGTACAAACACAACACGCAGGGGCAGGAGGCTCTGTGATCAAGTCGCCGGTGTGAGTGAATGGGACTACACCTAGTTTTTGAACAGGCATTCTGGGGTAGATGCGGGACTCTGCATATCCCCTCATCGGGAAAAAAAACATTTCCGCTGGCTCGTGTGCGTGTTCAAAGACACGGTGTCAGGTGTAAACTTTGCACCCACCTCAAATCGTAGAACTTCAGCATTAATTATGTTCTTCTCTGTTCTCTTCAACCCTTAATCTGAGAAACATTCAGTAGCCGCTGATTGCTGCGTTATGAATATTTGTTGCAGGCAACCGCACTTCGCCTTTCATCAGCTTCTGGTTCTTAGACCTGGATCCACTAATCTCCGCGAAAGCTTTGCTGCGCTGGTGGCAGGAAAGCTGTCCATGGTCTATGGATTGGTGAAACAGTGAAACTGATGAACAGACAAGACAAGTACACAGCCAATGGAAAGCTGGGCTGCACACTATTGCACACTTTCATTGATGAACCAGGATTTGTCTGCAGACTGAAGCGTCAGAACATGGAGCTTTGTCATTTTCATTGACAGTCAACAGTCAACACATGTCAGCACTGACACATTTTTTTTGCGGTTGATTTTCAGGAGAACGATCAGGACAGCGCTTGCAAGCTGTGCCACCTGGCTTAAGCTATGCAGAAGAGGCACCGCTCTCTTTTGTGGGGACTCGTCGAATGCGGCATATTTTACGCGTGTCCTTTTACCTAGGCAAACTTACGGATTTGCCAGCTGCTTGCAAGCCAAAGTGAGAAAGCCAAAGATGCTGCGAAAATGATGCTGATGCAGCGCGTTTCAGCGAGCTTCAGCTGGGAGTTTTGTACAATTGGAAAACCACGGAGTCAGAGTTTCCAAGCATTTCCGAACTATGTGTGCTCAAAAGCAAACATAGGCAGTTTTGGAATTGAACATTTGCATACATTTGCTAGATTTACAGTGTAGCATTACTTAGCTTTCTTTGGCTAAACACTTGAAGAAGCAACCAGTTGAACCATGATGCTGTGCCATATAAAAGAGGAGAGACAATTGCATTGACAGTTATTGACAACACGGACCATCACCCCATGTCGCCCGTTGAGCACCACATACTGTAGCTTGCGGTTGCATCTGGGAGAGATGTTCCCGTCGTTTCACTTGTGCAAGGCCGGAGCAGACAGCTGCTGCCGGGCTGCCGCCAATGTTCCGGCGGAAGTGATTCAGTCAGAGGGGCGAAGTTTGGAGACGCCCGCGCCACCAATCGGAGATGACAGAGACGATCCCGAGAATGTGAGAAATGTGAGAAATGTGAGCCTGGAGATCTCATATTCTGAGGAGCTGGCCCCGATAGAGGAAGAGCATTCGGGACGATCATGGGCATTACCGGCATCACCGAGCTGTCAGAGCGTTGGTTGGAGGAAGATGATGACCATGCGACACATGGAGATTGACTTTGAAATCCTGCGCGGAATTCCCCTGCATCGCGCACTTCAGCAGCCGGAACTTTGGACGTCTCCGCATGAAATCCGCCGCACCAATCGTGCTGCTCAAGTGTGGGACCTTTCGACCAGGGTATCGAGCTTGGATATCTTCTTGTCGCATTCATGGAAATCAAAAGGCAGGTGGAAAGTCCTTGCTTTGATGATGCAAACCGGTTGGCTTCATGGACTTCTGGGTTGGTCGGTTGGGCTGGCTGTCATGTTGTGTTTACGAGCTTTTGGAATGGTCAGTGACACATGGAAGAATCTTGATTTCATCGTTGCTGGTCGCCACATCACAGCGGATCTGAGTATTTGGACGGTGATTTCTGCCGAAGTTTTTATGGTGCTTGGTTTGTGTCTCTCTCCATACATGCCATTGAAGACACAAATGTGCTTTTTGGATGTGGCATGTATTCACCAGGATGAACTTGACATGTTTGAACGCGGTCTATACAGCATCGGCGGGTGCCTTTCCGTGGCAAAGGAACTTCGGGTTTTGTACTCGCCAGAATATCTATCGAGTCTTTGGTGCTGGTTCGAGCTTGTGGGCTTTCGCAAAGCAAATCCTGAAGGCAAGCTTGTCTTTGCGCCATTATTCATTGAGCGGTCTGCGGCGATTTGTGCCTTGATAGAATTTTGCTTTGCAGTTTTGATAAACGTTGTGTTGGGGTATGCAGACATACGCACTCGCCAAGCGAATACCATTCTGTATTACCTCGCACTTTTCTTTCTGCCGCTGGTCTTTGTTGTGCATACTATGCGTTGCAGCTACCGAGAAAAGGGGCGGTTGATACTTGATTTGACGACTTTCGACGTTGACAAGCTGGTTTGCACGTCTGACTTTGATCGGGCATTTATTCTCAGTGCAATTTCTGCTTGGTATGGCAGCAAGGAAGCTCTCAGGGACTTCGTTCGAAGTGAGCTTCGAGCGGAACTTCTGGGTTTGCTACCCTCACCTCACCTTCCTTCCGCCTATGCGGCCTTGATACTCTCGAGTTTGTTGGCTTGGAACTGTGACATGGCCCTGAACTTCTACAAAGGCGGTGCAACTTGGGAGGAGCTTCTTCGTCATATGCTGTCTTTTTTCTCATTTTTTACCAGTTGGTTTTGGTGTGCTTTCAATGGCATTTTCTACCTGAGCGACAAAACTTCTTCACCTGGTGGCAATCGGCTGCTTGATTGGTCCAAGACGTTGGCAGTGGCAGGAGTAATGTTCTTGTGGTCATTTGTTGGCTTCACTCTTTGTGTGACACTTGCTCGGTCAACAGCAGTGGTTGGCCTTGTTGTCTATGTCATTTTTAGTATGGCGCTTCCCCTCTTCATTTTGGATGCCTTTAAGGGGTGTCGCTTCGCATGCTGCCGAAAGGGCATGAAACGGCAGGCCGACATCACGTGACTGCTGTGCTCTGCAGGCTGCGTCTGGTTGTCAGCAGGTGATGGCAAAGCCACACTTTGCAGACTTTTCTTGACCATCATGACCATCATGACCATCATGACTATCATGACCCTTGCCCCAAGCAAAATGTGCATCTTTGCCTTTGCGCCTCGAGCTTTGTCCTGGTTTGTTAGATTCTGTCAGCAAAACCAGATCATGCAGGGTCACTGGCAAAGTCCGCAGAAATCTCACCTTGATCCGAGGGGGATGGTGGACTACCTGGGAGATGTTGACGAAGAGACTAAGTCTAAGGCAGTTTATGCTATGGGTGTGGCCTTTTAGACATGACCATCTCGTGCTTTTGCTTTTGCATGTTTCGAAGATGCGAGAGATTCCCAAGCTGTACAATATCCTAGTAGGATCCTGTAGGTGGGACTCACATTGACTTGAATCAACTATGTTTTGCTAGGGAATCCCAATTTTGAAGATAGGGAGTTTGTAGGTGGCTGCCAGCGCGGGCTATCCTCTTAGCATGTTGCAGAGGCTGGAACCTCAGTGGAAAGGCATCTGGGATCATGACCTTTGCTGAACTTTGCTGATCCCTTCCGGTTGAAACCATCCACGTGCTGAAACCACCCACGTGCTGAAACCATCCACGTTTCGTTGCTGATGGCAGTGATTGTTGGTGATAAGGCACAGGTTTCCATATCCATTCCGTAGATTGAAGAGTTACTGGAAATATCTGGAAATGATTCAAGAGTTACCGAAGAGTTATCCCCATTTATAGATGGTTTACCTATTAAAAATGGGGATTTTCCATGGCTATGTTAAATAACCAGAGGGTATATACCTTTGATTTCCCGCGGCCTTCGTGCCTGGTGAGGCCTTCGCAACAGGCCAGACTTGATGAAGCCATGGCGGCGGCTGCAGAGGTGCGGCGTTGAACAGCCAGGGATTCACCACTGCTTAGAGGTTTAACATGGTTTAACATGGTTCAACATGGTTCAACATGGTTTAACATGGTTTAACATGGTTCAACATGGTTCAACATGGTTTAACATGGTTTAACATGGTTCAACATGGTTCAACATGGTTTAACATGGTTTAACATGGTTCAACATGGTTCAACATGGTTTAACTTTTTTTAACATGGTTCAACATGGTTCAACATGGTTTAACATGGTTTAACATGGTTCAACATGGTTCAACATGGTTCAACATGGTTCAACATGGTTTAACATGGTTTAACATGGTTTAACATGGTTCAACATGGTTCAACATGGTTTAACATGGTTTAACATGGTTCAACATGGTTCAACATGGTTCAACATGGTTTAACATGGTTTAACATGGTTCAACATGGTTCAACATGGTTCAACATGGTTTAACATGGTTTAACATGGTTTAACATGGTTCAACATGGTTCAACATGGTTTAACATGGTTTAACATGGTTCAACATGGTTCAACATGGTTTAACATGGTTTAACATGGTTCAACATGGTTCAACATGGTTTAACATGGTTTAACATGGTTCAACATGGTTCAACATGGTTTAACATGGTTTAACATGGTTCAACATGGTTCAACATGGTTTAACATGGTTTAACATGGTTCAAACAACATGGTTTAACATGGTTTAACATGGTTCAACATGGTTCAACATGGTTTAACATGGTTTAACATGGTTCAACATGGTTCAACATGGTTTAACATGGTTTAACATGGTTCAACATGGTTTAACATGGTTTAACATGGTTTAACATGGTTCAACATGGTTCAACATGGTTTAACATGGTTTAACATGGTTCAACATGGTTCAACATGGTTTAACATGGTTTAACATGGTTCAGCATGGTTCAACATGGTTTAACATGGTTTAACATGGTTCAACATGGTTCAACATGGTTTAACATGGTTTAACATGGTTCAACATGGTTCAACATGGTTTAACATGGTTTAACATGGTTCAACATGGTTCAACATGGTTTAACATGGTTTAACATGGTTCAACATGGTTTAACATGGTTTAACATGGTTTAACATTTAACATGGTTTAACATGGTTTAACATGGTGGTTAACATGGTTTAACATGGTTTAACATGGTTTAACATGGTTCAACATGGTTCAACATGGTTTAACATGGTTTAACATGGTTTAACATGGTTCAACATGGTTTAACATGGTTTAACATGGTTCAACATGGTTTAACATGGTTTAACATGGTTCAACATGGTTTAACATGGTTCAACATGGTTTAACATGGTTCAACATGGTTCAGCATGGTTTAACATGGTTCAACATGGTTTAACATGGTTTAACATGGTTTAACGTGGTTTAACATGGTTTAACATGGTTTAACGTGGTTTAACATGGTTTAACATGGTTTAACATGGTTCAACATGGTTCAACATGGTTTAACGTGGTTTAACATGGTTTAACATGGTTTAACATGGTTTAACATGGTTTAACATGGTTCAACATTGTTTAACATGGTTTAACGTGGTTTAACATGGTTTAACATGGTTTAACGTGGTTTAACATGGTTCAACATGGTTTAACATGGTTTAACGTGGTTTAACATGGTTCAACATGGTTTAACATGGTTTAACATGGTTTAACATGGTTTAGCATGGTTTAGCATGGTTTAGCATGGTTTAACGTGGTTTAACATGGTTTAACATGGTTTAATGGTTTAACATGGTTTAAACATGGTTTAACATGGTTAAACATGGTTTAAACATGGTTTAAACATGGTTTAACATGGTTTAACATGGTTTAACATGGTTTAACATGGTTTAAACATGGTTTAAACATGGTTTAAACATGGTTTAACATGGTTTAACATGGTTTAACATGGTTTAAACATGGTTTAACATGGTTTAACATGGTTTAACATGGTTTAACATGGTTTAAACAT